AGCGATGACCTTCTTGTCGTTTGGGGTGGCGGTGAGCGAGGGAGTGATCGAAGGTGTTCCTTTAGGTCGCGTGGTCAGGATGTCGGATCGTAGATGAGCTTCTTCGTCCGGAACCTCTTCGACTGTTACTTTGGTCTTGTGGGGTTCTTGTCCTCGTGGCGGCATTTGGTCACCGGGCCGAAAAGGGCCCTTAGGCGGCAATTGGTCGCTGTTCAACGAGGGAGTGGAGGAGGGCTCGCTGCCCTGTGTTCGGCCCCAGCCAAGGGCGCTTGTGCGCGGCGTTGTAACCTCCACTGTCAGATCCTTCTTACTGCTCTTCCTACACCCGGCGGTACTTCGGGTAACCCTTCGTGGATGCACACATATTGGCTCCCCTGACAGGTCCTCACTGTTTGCCGATGAGGGGGCTACTGGGTGAGGGTGGTCTCTCGGTTTCATAGCCTCAGCTGCTTCTCCAGCGCTTCCCGTTGGAACAGACCCCTGTGGAGCAGGCCCAACGGGCTGGGTTGCCGACCTTTCTCCCTCTCCGGGGTGACCTCCCTTCATCAAGGGTGCAGTCAGACTCGACCATAGGGGGTTCTGCCCTCGCGGGGCTTTCCCTGTGCTGGCGAGCGGGGGTTCCTGAGCTCAGATGGCCCCTAGGGGTTCATTGCTGGATGCAGGCTGCGTGGAGCGGCGGAAATCCCCTCCTACGCCGTTGGCGTGGTGCGATTCTTCTTCCTCAGTTTCTTCAACAGGTAACACGGCGAAAAAGTTCGTATATTGTTCATACGGAGTACCTACATACGTAGTATAAGTCCGACTAGAAGTACATGAGTGCGCACCAGTAGAAACTAAGTCCCTTGCCGATGCCGTCGAATCGCTTATTTCGACGCCGGCTCGTCTTTTGACGACTTATCGTCCTTGACCTCCTCGATCTTTGTATCCTTTCCACTCTCCTCCTTTTCTGCCTCTGCGAGTAGTTGTCGAAGTCGTTGAGCAGGGATCTTTTTGCGAGGGGGAAGTTTGACAGGGAGCCACTTTGATTTGTCCATGGGGCATTTATGGTCTCGGCTCCACCCGGTATTCCCACACTTGAAGCACCGCTTGTCGCTTCACAACTTGTCGATCTCCATCGGCTGCCCGGCGCCCCCATAGGTCGTTCCCGTGGCATCCTTCTTATCGCCACTAGAACCTTGTCCCCCGCCCTTCTGATTTTGGTTGCCTCGACCCGAACCGCTGTTCTGGGAGGACTTACTGCCCAATCCTTGGGCCACTCCATACCTGTAGTTGGCGTCGATCCTTAGGATGCGTGCTTTCCACTCGGTGTAGGTCGTGGGACGCTCGTTGTCCCCGTGCATAACTGTGTTACGAACCATGGGGCATATCGCTGCTTCCACGGCTTCGAACATCTGCTTCTCATCTCCGAACTCCTCGCACTTGTGGGCCAACCTCTCGAACTTCACAAAGAACTCCACTGCTGACTTGAAGTCCGATTGACGGACCTTCTTCCACTCTTGCTTCCAAATGGTTAACTCAGCTACCTCGTGGAACTGCACAGTGAGGTCATGGGAGAATTCGTCCCACGTCGGGAACCTCCAGTGACCGTTCGGGTCCCGGTACCAGTAATATTGATCAACCCACCACTGCTGCGCTTCTCCGCATAGGTATCCTTGTGCAAATGTGATTTGATAGGGATTTTGTCCCTGGTCGTTCATCGTGTAGTACATCGGGAAGACCTGGAAATATACCTCACAGTGATGGAGGAACCGAGTGATGTCAGAGGACACTCCGGTGAAGTACTCCGGCTGAGTGATTAGCTTGGGCTTGACGTTGTTCCAAGGATTGTTCACCGCTCCTGGGGCCAACTGCCAGGGGTCGATAGGATCCGGTGGCGGTGGCGGGACTGGAGGTACCGGCGGGTTCGGGGGACAGGGGAGAGAGCGGAGTCGGGGGTTACCCCCCGGAGGTGGGTATCCTCCAGCCCCATAACCCCCAGGAGGGTTCCTCGGCGGAGGGGCGCTCGGCGGATTCCTGGGCACTGTGGAGCCTTTGCCCTTGTTAGGGACCAAGGGCCCTGCCCCCTCGTCCGCGTATCCATCATCTATATCTGCGAGGTCGTCCTCTCCTCCTCCTCTGGCAGCGAACCTCATCGTTTCCAGCGGGTTAGGCATGGGTTGAGGGCGGCAGTAAGCTTCACACCCTCGTTGGGTCACTTCGGGGTGCACCTGGTTCCATACGTTGGCCGCCCTATGCCACGTTTTGACTTCCAGGATGTTCTTCATCAAATATACGTCCCCGACATACTTCGTGCTTCGATAGTCCTCTCCCGCCTCCGTGAGTAGCCACTGCAGGTCCTTTTCCATATTCTCCATCATGATTTCATAGAGGCCCTCCCACGGGAGAATATTAAAGATAGTGGGAGTCGGGATGGGGCCTCTAACGAGAACCGTCCTCACCGCCTCCATCACTTGGGCCTCCAGGGTCCGGTTGGGAGGGTGGCTTGGCATCCTCGCTCTCCCTCCTCTCTCTCGTGCGACGGTCGATTTCTCGGTTCCTTCTCCATCGTCCGATGTCGGAATCTTCATCGCTGATCTCGGACTGGTAGGAATTCCATGCTCTTCTTCGGGCCTCCAAGTCGGTCCCGGCTCGCTCGGCTTCTCCGGCGTATCGTAAGGCAGCGGTACGCCTTCGGTTGTCAACCTCAGCGGGGGTGGTGTCGGGTTCGAGGGGGAGGTCCCAAAGCCCATTAGGTCCTCTGAGGGCGTCGCACTCAGCCCAACGTGTGCGTGCGTCGTGCGCTCTTCCTCTGTCCATTTGGGCCTGGACTTCTGGGGAGAGCCTGGCATCTCAAGGGAGTCGGAGGGACTCGACGAGCGTGTGGTAGAGTAGAGGCCACGGACGCTGGTTTTGCGGGACGGGGTCAGCGAAGGCTCGACCTGCGACCAACGGAGTGAAATCAGGGATTGGGGAGAGGTCTCCAGCCCCGGCAATTGCTCCAAGTTCCTCGTCGTCATAGTCTGGAAACTCGCTCCAGAGCTCCCGATCCTCCTGCTCGTTCGTGGGGACAGCGGGGGCAAGAGGACTGGCCTCAGGCCCTTCAGTGACGTGGTCGGACTCGTGGTCCTCGTCGGTACTTCTGGCCACAGGAGCTTCTTCCCGCCTGTCGGCGTAGACCCAGCTGGTGTGGGGGTACCAGGCGACTGGCTCGCCCCTGTCAGGTGGCTAAGAAGCTGGAACGGATCTTGCTCCATTTGTACAGGTGGCAGTCATGGCAGAGGCCCCAAGGGCAAGCTCTCCGGGATCCTCGTTGAAGTCATCTCGGTGTCCCCTTGACGCCTCGATCCTCGCTCTATCCCTTGCATCATCTGCGCGGATTCTCCTGTCTCACGCTTCCTCCCACGGGACTCCCCCATGGTATCCCCTGTTTTGATCGATTGGGCAGACTCCGGAATCGTCCTCATCCCCTTCATTCTCCTGGAGGAGGCCGTCGAGGAGGTCTTCAAGTCTGATTCTTTCAAGGTCAGTGAGCTTGTCCCCTTCGAACTCGGTATCAACATCTTCTTCTTCGCTCTGCTCCAAATTCCTTCCTTCTTCTCCTGACTCGCTTGGGACTGTAGGCTGAGCGAAGAGGCCTGGTATGGGCGAGTCTCCTCTGCCGAGGAATACCCCCCAGGTATTGGTGATGTCGATAGACTCGGCAGATGCGCTTCTGTAGGAGTCTGTGCTCGACTTGGAGGAGTCCGAGCTGGATCGTGACGATCCGTAGAGGGATTCTCCAGGTCCTCTGGGTGTGATGGGTCGGCCATCGTGAAGGGTTTGTTGGGATGCCACGGGAATGTGGATTATCGGCGGTGGATAGGCCGGGGTTGTGGGAACATAGTGAAAGGGAAGCTGCGCCCTGAGATTTCTTTGTCGGCGGCAGCACCGGTGTATCTGGTACAAGAAGATGGACAAGAAAAAGAGAATAAAAACTACGGAGATTGCGGGAATGGCATCGGATAAGGGCATCCATTCGTGGACTTATTTTGGGGTGAGTCCAATGACTATGGTGGACCATACGACGGTTAATGCAATTATAGTGATGGCGGCGAGTACGGCGATTATCAGGTTGAGGTCGGTTTCGTATGTGGAACCGGTCATCAATTCAAAGTCGTCGACAGAAGACAGGTCAGTTACTATCAGCAGAATAACTGCCAGTAATGACGCTGTTTTCAGAGATAGGTGAAAGGGATTCGTGTTTTAGATTCGAAGGAATCCAACGTAGGCCACCAGGAACAAGGCTGCCAACAGCGGGGCCACGATGTAGATCCGGATGGCGATGACCACCAGAACTATGGTTGCGGTCGGAAAGATGGGGTCTAGTAGTACAGTGGGTAAGACCCAGGCGACTACTATGGCGAAAAGAATTAAAGGGTAAATGTTGGGCAGCGGTTGTTCTTTAACAAGATGCTGGGCAATGTAGGACGAGCTTCGGCTAAATGTTAGCCACTAACTCTTATCGACTTAGATCAAACTAGGATCACTACTCGCACTTCGGTAGATGATACACTAGTAGGTCAAAGGCGATGACAAGCCAGAGAACGAACGAAATAGATGCGAAACATGGAGTTCAATGTTAGGTAGATTAAACCTTAGCCGAAGCTGGGGTTTAGACCAGCTGAGGCATTACTTAAATACACAATAACTAGGCTAAAAATAGTACAGTGGGAATCGTCTGATAGGAATCGCATCATAGGGTAAGCATGAACATGTAAGAAAAGGGAAAGAAAAGAATAAACCGTAACAATGAGGGAGAAGAGGAAAAAGCACGTCTGCCAGCGAATCGCTTTATAAGCACGCCATCAACAGTTTTCCAACGAGATCGGGATATAAAAAACCAATAGGGAGAAGTCGGAAAGACAGAGTTTTTCAGCCACAGCGGCAATCAATTTCAGCCACCCGGCATGCCAGCCGTAGCGTGCCGCATGCTCGCCAATCACTGCAAATTAGCTAAGCCAACCCGGAGTATAGCCCCTGTCCAGACAGTTTGGCACTACTCACGACCAGTTACGGCTTTCTATAACCCTCTGTCGTTTCCTCATTCTTCGGAAAGAATCGGGGATCTCCCGGTGCCTGAAAGCACTTATTCACAGGGAGCGAAAATTTTTGAGTCCTGGTTATGCACTGGCCACATACTACTACCAATGAACCAAGCATCTGAGAAGCTCCCTGGGCCTTCCTCTGTTCTTATTTCTCGAGTTCATCATCTCAGAGATCTCATCCGAAGTCTTCCCAACACCGGTGATGCCCTACCAAATGCCGCGACATCATGATAGCCCCTACTGCTTCGGATTGGATCTCGATGATGCGAGGGAAGAAGGATCTCTTTACGCGTTGCACTGGTGGGGATGACTGCATGCGCACTGGCCGACTTCGTCGCAGGAGAGAGACGTTTCCGCACTTGATACGATCAGCGTACTCCCGAACGACTTCAGACACTCTATTCACCACCTCCACAGTCCACTTATCCCAACCGCGCAACGGCGGGCTACCTACCAGTCTTGCTACGCATTGCTTACTCTAGTGCCATATCTTGACGGGACGACCGACATACGGGATATCGACTGGCCCAGAAGGGCTGTGAACAACTTTCAGCGAGCAAGGCGCATGCACCAGTGAGGACTTGCACATCGCGGGACTCTGTGGAGGGGAGGAAGGTGTTTGTGCTGAAGGGGAGGACGTTCGGTGTATGTTCCCTGAACACGCTCATCCGTGTTGGAGTCAAGGATGGAATCCGGGTGCGCAGGGTGCGCATCTGTGGGATCCAACAGATTAGACTTCCAGGTGTATCGGTAAGTCCACGCATGTCTGTACCCGAGCGGACTATTCAGAAGGTATCGCTCATTTCAAGTCATGCTGTTTTCTCTTTCTTCTATTGCCTCGGAAGAGCCACTACCAGTTGTCCATTGAGAACGACGTTTTGTTGATACAGAGAACAGGTTATTTATGTAATATGTAAACATCATCGAAGATTACCAGGGCAGTTCTGTACCGGAACAGACCATTGGACCAATATGCCAAAGCCAGTTATTAGGTAATGATCGGCCAATGCTAGGAGCACCTACTACAAAATGAAAGTTCGCATCCAGCCCTCCCTCCCTGAGAGCCTTAAAGCCGTCAACGTATATATCCTGCGCGTCAGAGGGCTCCCAGATAAGTAGCTTTATCTTCTTCAAAAAACTCTTCAAGGATGAATTTACCCCATCCCTGTGAGGAAGCCTCGAACGAACCATATCTAAGAAACGTCGCGCTTCATCTGGGTCCGCTAATTCTGTGTCTTCAAAGAGAAGGGCCATGATTGTCAAATCAGATAGATGCGGTAATAGGCAAGAAGAAGACGTGACAGTGAGAGCGGTTATCCACTCAGAAGCACTGGAATGATCGACTTCGAGGTGGAGGTGAGTGAGTCGATGAACGGCATTTGTCTCGAAGAAATGTGCAGCTGCAGTGAATTGGATGCAACTGCGACAAAGATAAAGCTGATCCAGTGAGAAGTGAGATCGGCTGTAAAGTGAACCCATCGCGTTTGTGTTGCCGGCGCTTTGCATGGCACTCAAGATGCGAAGAGCCGGTAGCGTAAGATATTGTGTACACGTCTCTGAGGAAGTGAGGTAGCTGAGCTGGCGAAGATGATGTAAGGTTACGGGGACGGGAGCAGGCTTGTTGGAAGGCGGAGTCTGTTGACCCTCGCCGATGGCCTGCACCCTCAGCACCTCTAGACGCGGCGCCGCAGAGATGAAATTGCGGAATTCTGGGCCATCATAAAAACTGCCTGTGAACTGGTATAAATTTGATGTCGGAAACATGGAGGGTAGAACTCTATAAGCTTCATCCAGGCGAAGCGAGGTGAGGTTAGGAACATCGAAAAACATGTCAGAGTCAGATTCCTGTCCCCTGAATCCCTCGAGAGTGAGTTTCTTCAGTTCAGAGAGGTTCCCAAGCCGTTTCGTGAGCTGCCGTAAAACAGGCGCGAAGGCACGGATATAAACTCTGAACCATCGACTGGAATGTGACACCAACTCTGTGATCAGAGCCTCTTCAATCACTTCGTCAGGGTTGTCACAGTAGAGGAGCAATTTCAGAGGCGAATTGCGCGATAGTTGAAGCTGCAACCTGACTATATGTAGCGCATGGAGTGGAAACAATGAATTGTGGGTCTTGACAAGCCTGACCGTCGACCAAAGTGTTGGGGAAGACGAGGCGATAAGCCTCCACCAGTGACAGACGCGAAGAAATATCCATGGCGCATTCTTCACGTCGAGACTGTTGCTGGTGTTACTATGGGCGAATTTCCAGTCGGACGCGTATGAAAATATGAGGAGCAGTACGTCACGATTGAGGCGTCGAATGGGAGAAAGGAGTGATCGTTTGGCTGCTAGGTTCTTCACAATTTTGGCTCGCTCCTTACGGATACGAGACGTCAATGCATGTCAAGATGTTTTAGACGGTGGTTCAAATCGGAGACGGTTTTTTGCATGAGTGTAATATCCTCGCCAAGCGCTGTCATGTCAATATCGAAGGAAGAATTTCCTACGCGAAGGCAATTGAAGACATTGTGACCTTCAATCAAGGCAAGTGGAGGAATCTGCACAGATGAAATGTCGTTCTCGTGAAATCCACAGCGTAAACACCTTTCAAGCGGCGGCGGCATGCTCTGGAAATTTTGTGAGACTAGAAACGAGGAACATATGTGCTAATAAACACTCACCTATTTGAACAAAGTGATAGTAATGCAGCAATTCGTTACCCGCTCTGATCTGGTTCTGGCTACGAACGGGTAGTTAGAACAAAGTCAAAACTGAAAACTGCAGAAGATTCAATCGGCTGGGGGAGCCGTCTCCCCAAAGAATCCAGCTGAACTTGCCGAACTCATCCTCCTCCGGCTCACGGTTCATCAAAATGGACCGAAATCGGCACGCTTATGCAAGTTTAAATTCCCCGATTCTTTCCGAAGAATGAGGAAACGACAGAGGGTTATAGCAGAGGCTAACTGGTCGTGAGTAGCGCCAAACTGTCTGGACAGGGGCTATACTCGGGGTCGGCTTAAGTAATTTTTAGTGATTGGCGAGCAAACGACATACAGCGGCTCAGTTGCCGAGAGGTTGCCGCTGTGGCTGAAAAAATATCTCTTTCCGGTTCCTTCCTATTGGCTGGTTGGAATATTATGATTTTCCTGTAATCCACCTTTTCACTGCATGTTCTTGCGCAATGCGTGTCGCAAGTGATTCCTACCTTTTCGTCCTCTAGGATGTGGATGCCCTACATCGACTACTGCCTGTTCTACAGCTTTGCTCAGTGGGCTATAAAATTGCACTATCGCCATCAAGCTCGACAGCGACAGTAAGGATCTGACTTCTTCTGGTTGGATATAGGCTTCACTATTTTACAAGGATTAATTCTAGTCGACCCTGCCTCAAGGCCTCAAGAGGCAACACATCTTCGTTGTTAGTTTCGAGTTTCGGCATGTATAAATGACGGGAGGCAATTCACAATTCACGGCAACCCAAGGCCCAAGATATCGTGTCGAGCAGGTTTAGGAATATTTAAAGGATGGGTTTGAAGGTGCGTTTACTTGTTCTGCCAATGCTTATTTCCTTACTGACTGACTGCAGACAATACCAACACCAGTTTTTGACAGAGGTACATACAATCCCTTTTCTTTTGTGTACCCGACGACTAAACGCTTGCCCAGTATTTTCACATACCCCAGTATTGATGGTGGGCGAACGTTGACAGAGTAAAAGTAAAGTGATTGGGAAGCGGGCTTTGGAGAAGGTATTCTCACCTTGCTTAACTCGTATTTATTTCAACGTGCTTTTTCTTTTTAGGTTCGCTTCGAGAAGGCAATTGACTTCGTATCTGGTAACACTCAAGTACGTTGTTTCCTGCTAATCAGTTTGCTGTTGTAGTGATATTTGCGCAGGCACACCATAATAATCAAGAACACGCCACGATACTGATGATGTACTTAGCTGGGATGGCAAGCAGGGAGCACGGAGTAGAATTACCTTTCAAGTGTGCGCAGGTCAAGCAAGATGTTCGGAGTGGCGTCGATGTCTGAGGTGGGGTGCAGGTGGCAAGAGGAGCTGCTACGGCTATGTGCCACCTGCGTACCTTCAGCTTCCTCTCATACATCTGTGATGTTTTTGCATTCAGACTTGCCACGATTGCAATGGCCTTCTACTTCATTTGCATGGTACAAGGTACGCAGTAGGGACTGTTTTCTTTCTCAAGAACTAATGCATGTGCAGGGATGGACAGAAATTCAAAGAGGGCAAAAGCACGGCGTATCGCAGTTCGGATTAGATGTTAGATTGTGCAAAATGCGAGCTGGCGGCGCAGCCGCCGAGCGAGCTTTTTGCACCACCACGCTTCCACATTCAATCAAGCTGTATTATGTAGTTCAGCGTGAATGAGCACATTAATACAGACTGACAAAAAAGCTGCTTGCCATTTCTTCGTACGAAAGGAAAGAATCGGGGACCCGGCAACTGCCGCTACTGGATCCGATAGCATGCAGAGCACGACCGCCGGCGACAACGCCATTTCACTGCTCACTTATTACCTCAGTTGCCGTGGTTCACGAAATCAAGACGTATTTTTTATTTTGACATCAGCGACGAAACCGTCGACGACATCCAATTCTGAATTCCCCTATTCTTCCACCACCATATCATCGCGCGGTGCTGAGCCGATACAAAACGTACCGAACACAACGTGTAGAACGTCCTCGTTCTCAGCGTTACTCTTACCACCACCGGCCCCACATTGTCTATATTCCAGTCCTCCACTTCACCTAACTTTTTGGTTCCATCTTATGGGGGATTGTGTCGGGAGACTTACAATGTGGGATAAAGTGTCAACTACTAGTACTACAGCGGTGAGCCTTCCTGAAGATGCGTAGAGTATTGCATCCAATAACTTGGAATAGACAGACAACCCTGGATGTACCTCGGCAGGCGAAATGCAAACCCCATCCCCACCACCACCAGTGTCCACACAACCTCAACTGCCGAACGAGTTTGTCTCCAGGCTAACCATACCTCAAGCGTCCCCCCATGTACCTCCTCGTCCAGAGTTTATTCCGTTCACAATCCCGTACCTCTGTATGTCGAAACCGTATGATGGCAAAGATTTCTGGTCATATCCAGAGCGTTGTGGGTGGATCGTTGATGCGAAAGACACACAGTGTCATGTCCTCTGTCCTCCTGGCGCTTGTATTGATGACATGGACATGGAGGAACTGCCGAAGGACACACAACTGCAAATATTCTCTCGTTCAGACGGCAGTGTCGTCGTTGCTTCAGACAAAATTGCGTTCTTGCAAGCATGGCTTTTCTTTGGCGTCCTTACAGAAGTGTCGGATTTGTGCGGACTCGACATTGATTTGGCAACTGAATTCTTTCTCGAAGACGGATCGGTTTCGACGGCTAGGCTCAATGGTCTGCCAGGACGATGGTTCGAGGCTGCAGTCATGTCTGGTCGTGCAGGGGACAAAGTGCTTATGGAACGCATTTTGACCATTGCTCGTCATTCTCATTTGATGCTGTCCGAAGAACGAAGCGATGATGAATATACATTGACATTCGATTACTCGTATGCCGAGTGCCGTGTCTTCCTTTCCTTGGAAATTCTTGTTCGCACAGTCGGTCTTCACCTACTCCTACATACCTACATGCCAGGCTTTACCACAACAGAAGAGGAAGGATGGGGTCGAAATAGAATCAAGCGGAGCCTCGACTGGCCGCCTTGGTATAGGCGGCGCCCTAATGAAGGACTCGCTCAGCTCGGTCTTCTAGCGCGAGACAAGCTTGAAGAGCAAGGTTGGTGCGCAAGTGAGCTCGACCTTTTAGCACATGATGAAATGGCCTTTGCCTCCCTTCTCTCTCGTCCGAGGATCAGAGATCATTCCAGTTGTGGTGATTTTATCTGCCATGCGTATCAAACGGAGGAGTCGACCTATCGTACCAGACATGTAGATGATGAATGTAGCTGCGACTTCGTTGGCTTGGACACTGACAGTCTGATTGCCGTTTTATCCCAAAACAAGGTCCCGAAACTAGTCATAACAGATGAGCTGGAGTTGGAAGTGGTGTCGGAGAACGACTATCCATATATTGCGCTTTCACATGTTTGTACGTCCCCTTTACGCGCCCTTGCCAAGTTCTAAACGAGAATCTTTTATTTCTACTAGGGGCCGATGGGCTTGGGAACCCGGAAACAAACACACTTCCACGATGCCAACTTCGACGTTTACGGGATTATGCAAACCAACTTAGCCACGTACATGAGCATGCATCTCATTCATCTTCTTTACCAATCGCCTTCTGGATGGATACACTTTGTATACCTGTTCATCCAAGCGAGTTGGCAAAGAGTTACCGCAAGAAAGCCATCCAGCTTCTCGGAAAGACGTTTCATGAGGCAACTGCAGTGCTAGTTCTTGACAGGGAACTAGAAATTGTAGAATCTGCTACTGTGCCGTTTCTAGAGTTGGGCTTGCGTATCCTCTGCAGTGGATGGATGAAGCGTTTATGGACACTCCAGGAAGCCACACTTGCTAGTGAGGCTCATGGCGTAGATAAGCTTTACTTCCAGATGCAGGATGGTCCATTCCTGTATCAGAAGTACAATCGAGATAGGAAAGCCTTAAACAGCCTAGACAAACACACGACTGAGATTCAGGCTGAGGAGCGAACCTTGCTCTATGACGATGGGATTATGCTGCTGCTTGGGGAACAGATTCCATCTGTCCGAGCTATGCGTGAAATGCGCGAAGGCTGGTCACCGTTCATGGTCATCTATTCTGCCATAGAGCATCGATCTACCAGTAAATTCGAAGATGTACCGGTCTGCATTGCGTCTTTGCTGGGAAAAGACATAACCACGATTGTGTCTACTTCGGATGCAGAACAGAGAATGGCGAACTTCTACATGCTCATGCGCGAAGTTCCAATTGGAGTGCTGTGGCGTGACAAGTCAGAGAAGCTGATGAAGAGGCCATTTCGCTGGGCACCCAAGTCTATCACCAGCTGCCCACCATATACGACTTTCATGGGTTGGGAAGACGGTATCTGTGACGCGGCCGGTCTGCATGTCAAGATTCAGGGGTTTATGTTTGCAGAAAGTGAAGTAGAGCGACATGGTCCGGGCACTATGCTGCCTCGCGTTTTCAATGTTGTTTCTGCAGAAACAGGCAACGTACTTTATCAGGTACGGATGGACAATTGGGAGAGTATCTCCCTGCAGAAAAATTTAGCTTTGATTCACAAGCCTCATCATCGTCAAGATTTTCCTCCGAATACAGTGATTGTGGTTGTTGAAGAAACTGTCCAGTTACTGGGTGATGGTAGAGTCCATTCGACCGAGTATGTGTGCACAATTGTTGGTTATGCGCGTATATTTCCTCCGAGGGATGCTACGGAAGCGGTATTCCGGGGGTATATGACGACGAAAGATCAGAGGTGGTGCATAACTTGAAATGAATTATAACATCTAGAGAAAAGGCTTTGTAAATAAAACATATTTAGAGGTGTCTGTTAAAATGTATATGATAGATGGGATAGTGTGTTCAGTGCCGCGATGAGCCTCCACCAGTGACACATGCGAAGAAATATTCATGGCGCATTGTTCACGTCGAGACTGCTGCTAGTGCTAATGGGAGAAAGGAATGATCGTTTGGCCGCTAGGTTCTTCACGACTTGGCTCGCTCCTTACGAATACGAGACGTCAATATGTTTTAGACGGTGGTTCAAATCGGAGACGGTTTTTTCCAGGAGTGTAATATCTTCGTCAAGCGCTGTCGCGTCAATATCGAATAAGGGATTTCCTGAGCGAAGGCAATTGAAGATATCTTGACCCTCAACCAAGGCAAGCAGAGGAATCCTCACAGATGAAACGTCGTTCTCGCGAAATCCACAGCGCAAACACCGTTCAAGCGGCGTAACCTCGCCATGAGCTCTACATCATCGCCGTCATAAATGCCTCAGCGTTCTCTGTCACCACATGCTTCTCTTCAGGTGCAGTCCTATGTTCATCTGCTCTCTTCTCCATCTCACCTCATCCTCAGCACACACCCGACACCCGCAACACCCTCTCCACAAAATCCTTCACGTCGGCTAAGCACCAGACGACGTTCCCTCCATTGATGTCTCCCGCCTGCCCTCCGCATAGCCACAAAGCGTTCCCTCAACGAGTCCTTCCTTCCACAGCCACAGACGCTCTGTCTGGGAGCAAACCCTTCCTCCTGCACCTCGTCGCGCCCTCCCTGCACCTCCCCGCATCTGCAACGACCCTCCCATCTCGCGCGCACCTTCGCAATCTTAGATTCTCTCACACCACTTGAGTGCTGCTAGTATGCTCCTTCCCAGTACTTCAACGAAGAATCTGCTACGTTTCACTTCAGTTCAATCGAATAAAGGTAAACATCACATTCTCTTACCTTGACGAGCTTGCATAACACCAATGGTCACCACGAGTGGAACAGTCGTCTCGACTCTCGGTTATAAAGGCTTAGAATGAATATCCCGTTAGCCAGTACGAGGGTAGGATAAGGAAACTGACACACCTGTACATATGTAGTTCAATACTAAGTCATAGACTTGCACTTTGAGATCCCTGAAAAGGAGACCGAGGTCTTGATACCGAGCTCAATAGAACCTATAAGACGTCAGAGTAGAGAACCATTAAGAAGCAGAAAGAACTCACCTGTTTCATCCTCCCGCAACAACACGAGTGCTGGCAGTCTGCAACAGTACCGTTAGCAAGTCGACTTGTGTAAAACAACGTCTACATACCGACATGTTCTAATGTCCACGATTACGCCACTACCAGACTTGTATAACCTTTGCAGAAAAGGGTCAGCCCAAGTTTGCTCCACCATCAGGGTTGTATGATGATGGTTCTTGGTTCCCAGGTTAAGGAATCTGTTCAAGCCGCATTAGTTTGACAAAGGTGGCTAGTAACTTTCCTTACCTTTGATCAGCTTGCATCATACTAAACTAGTTACCGTCACTGCATTGATGGTCGTCGTTGGTTCCCGTCACTTCATGATCAGTACCTAGAATCCTACGAACGTCATGTCAGCTAATACAAGTGTAACGGAATCGAGCCTACGTACCTGGGTGGCTTATGGATCCAAGGGATCCAGTATCAGCGTACGAAACGACATCCACATACTGACATGTTCATGGCTACACCGTGATCAGGTGTGTATAACCTTTGCAGAGAAGGGTCAGTCTAGAATCTCGCTTTTCTTAGTGGCAAACGGACCCACCATTTGCCTAACCATCGAGTTCGTTGTGGGTGTTCATGCGACCAAGGGTCACGAGCCAGGGAATCTGTTGGATCGTCCTTTAGTCCAACAAAGGTAGCCTGCACTGTTCCGTATCTTCAACGAGCCTGACACCAACACAGTCATGACAAGGAGTGACAGTAATGGTTACGTTGGTTTCCATATCTCGCTACTCAGTATGCAGCGTCGTGACACTTGTAGTCTTAAGAGATCCCGCCGGTTACATACGATAATCTTTACACTACCGTGTTAGTTTGCAGCGATATCGTATAGCCTTAGTTACGTACCTGACCGGCCATTACATCAACTTCATTAACCGAAAGTCAACCTGCCCTGGTTTGCGTTCCGAGCTGAGAACACATCTTAGTAAAAATGGAAACGACGGAGCGCGTAGGAGATAGCATACTGTAGACACCGGGGAAAAGTTACTAGCCAAGAGTAAGATAGGAAGAAAACCCAGCATCAGGATAAAAGCTTACAACCACCATGTCAGCCAAGCTCAATTGCACAATCGAGCGCATAAACAAACATCTACGTGATGTTAGCCTTGAGTAAAACCTGGAAGGGTAGAGAGAACTCACTGCCTGCCCGTGCATTTGACGAGTGCTATGGCACAGAAAGCTTAGGGTAGCCGTTAGATGAGCTATGGGAAATGTTTGTTAGTACACCTTAAATATCATAGAACAATGGCTTACCGTAGGTTCAGGACTACATTGAAACATAATCACGTCAGAATGTAAATAATCGAGTGTTATTTTAGCTTACCTTTGTTGAGCACCAGAAGTGGGCGGTGTATCTGGGCTTTTATATCAAATCTCCAAAAGGACGCGAGCTTAAAGAGTAAAGAATTACGAAAGATCAAGCAATAGAGCCTAGGAACTCACCATTCTTGAACATCCTTCAAACCGACTCCATGCCGACTATCTTGAAACCCTTAATTACCGAGTTGGACACTTGCTACCAAAAGGCAGCGTTAGCTTGCGAGGTCACACAGAGACGTCGAATCCTTACCTTGTCCACCAGTGAATACGTCTGAACGCTAACTGAAGACAACTTGGAAAAAACCGAGAAAATTGGTCAGTAGAGAAAGAAACAGCGGGCCGTAGGCCTAACAAGGAGAGTAAACTAAGGGACTGAGGGTAGAATAGATTAGAGAGGGAGAAGGCTTACCTTCACTTGTATCAAAGTGTATCAAAGCCAAGGTTGTTTGGGCTTCCTACCATTGTTTCAAAGCCTGACGACGTTGACATTGAAATTCTATGCAATGTTAGACTAAAATAAAACACAGTGACATAGAAAAAGAACTCACTACTGGTAACGCTGTCGTTATGCTGTCGTCGTGGTTGACGATTAAGGTAGGAAACGAACCAACAAACCAAAGCCAGGGTGCCGGCGGTCACGAGACCAAACCCTAGCGAGCGGAGATCCACCAACAACATGCTCAAAGGTAGGATAAAAGTCGTGGACACTGTTCGAGGGGAGGATGGAAGAGCGAGAGGCTAGAATAAGGAGGAAAGTGGGGAGGATGGGTGGGTTGATGAAAAGTAAAGCAGAACATACCTCGTATTTAAACATTTCGTGTGGGCCTGGAGCTCAGGGAAAGCCTATGTAATTGATCAAACTTGAAGCGAAAGCAAGTGAATATCGGATATTTGAAGCCAGCACCTCTGAAAATTGGAAGATCTAAAAAAGCAGATTTCGAGGGCCGACCGAGTTTCCCGTGTCGTTACAGTCATAGTGCTGCCAGTATTACACACGAAGCAATATCTTGGTATGTTTGAGAAAATTAGAGCTCGTCCCCGCCCTCCACTCGACGCCGATATAACTTGGGAAACTCGTAAGTATTACACAGACACGAGAGGAAGGTATACACACTCTCAAAATTCCAACTTTCAAGTTGGTTTTCCAACAGGCACTTGGCGTAATTCCGTTGATGCAGGGACCCTGATCCCGCAGCAGGGTCGTCTTGAAAGCACATGAATACAATAACTTTGAAATGCGGAAATTTGAGACTTACGTTGGGTATGTCTGTTGCCATCTTCAACCGGTTAGACTGTCCACATAACTTCTGGGCGCCCTCGCCGTAATTGTATTGAGAAGGGTAGCATGTGGTACTGTAATTTTAGTGAGTGCAAAATCGGCAGATGGTATACAAATGCTAGAGAACGTACCAAGGAGGGCAAATTCCGGTATTGAGAGAAGATGGCGCACTTCCCTGGACGTCTGGGGGATTGTAAGCACGCGGGACATGTACGGCCGCCATCATAATCATGTATATTTACGTTTTACAGGTCCCGGACCACGGAAAGAACGAAAACTTGGTTATCGATGGTGGAGCTCCTGTACAAGTTCAGGGTTGTCGCGCGACGTCATGATCTGACACGTCGGTGCTTCCGTCCGATGGGCTCATTATTGACTGACACGTCTTGTAGGGTCCAGGGAGGCGTCGTATATCAATGCAGGTTTCTGTGGCGGAATACGCATAAAAACGCGAGGATCACGGTCAAGAAGTCAGATCGATTAAAACTAAGAGTCCAATACATTCGGAGAGAATAGAGAAACAAAATCAAAGCGAGGGGACACAGAATTGAATGATTCAAACATGTTGTAGATGGAATACGAAGCAGAAGACAAGTGGCTTCCACTTTGGGAACCCTCCGATCCGAGAGACGCCGGCAACTTCCTCTTTTACTCGTACTACCACTATGCTGGTTGCTCAATTCTCTCTACCAGCCACTAACGAGTCTTTGAACGGCCATTGAAGACATGTCAAATACAGCGATCTTCCAGATTTCGGGACGGGTACTTATCGGCGCCATCTGAAACTTGAAAGATCTCATGCAACCCAGAGAATGGTTATCTTAACGGGTCCAAGGGTTATACAAGAGCAAGGACTCTTGCGTGCATGGAGTGCCCTGGTAGAGGGAGGGAGCACTCGACGTGATCGGCGTGCTTCCAGTCGACTTCAGACACTCCATCCACCACCTCCACTCATCCAAACCCCACGCCACCTCCCCACCTGCAAGCCTCGCAGCGCATTGTTACCTCTGGTGCCATATCTTGATACCAGAAGGGCCGCGAATGATTTTCACCGAACAAGACGCGTAAACGAGTGAGGACTCGCACATCGTGGTACTCTGTGGAGGGGAGGACGGTGCTCGTGCTGAAGACGAGGACGTTCGGTGTACGTTCCCTGAACACGCCCATCCCTACGGTGAGAGGGAGGTGTCGGAGTCAGGGATGGAATTCGTGTGCGCAGGGTGCGATGTCGTTGATCGGCGTATGTTTCCCCGCCTTCCTGCACCACCATCCCACCCATATCTGCACATCCGATCTCGATCCTCGTGCGCCCCCGCTCCCGAATACACAATGTTGTTCACTGAGGGTGATGGCGACTGGTAGGAGAGATGTTCTGCCTGCCGAGTAGGTAAGCGATTTGCAGCTGCATTCCTGTTCTTCCATGTTGAATGTTGTGCAGGGCTGACCTGGTGGAGATAGTAGGAGGTTTCAGCGAAGTTTGGGTGAAAAGGCAAATCATCATTGCTACCTCCGCTGATGGCGCTGTATTCCAGAACGCTCGAAATCCTCAAGACCAGGAGCCAACCTGCCCACGCCTTCTATCACCCCCGTTTAACCCGTTGCGCCTGAGTAAATAGCCGCCGTTTGAGGAGGACTCGGGGTTGATGGACGGCATTGGATGGTTGACTCGTTTAGGGTGATTTGGGGACTAGACGAGGTGAGCAGGTTCTGCTATTCCACTCAATCACGGTACTGACTTGTCTCTATTCCTAGGACTTGTTTAATGTTTCTGGGGTGGGAACCCACCTTTGTCGAGGGAGACTCCCTCGTGTTTTTTTAATTGCCTTTTGGCCTACGAACGGCAAGCCTCGGTTTCCTGTTTGAATGATTTGAACGGGAGACTACGCTTGGCCGCAGCACGAAAAGGGGGGTGTCTCCTCCCGTTCGTGCACCAGAGCATACCTTCGGGGTGGGGAAATTATGATCCTATAAGCTCTGACGGTAAGTGGACTTAAGCTGTTTTCTGTTTTGGCCGTGGGAATGCACATCGCTCAGATGAAACTTTTCGTCTTGTTGCCCTTCTTTTAACGCATGTCCTTGTAGCTAGTTGAAATACATGCGCATCGCCGCCCTTCTTTTTCTTATCGCCCCCGCCGAGAAATCGTCCCTTTCGTCGTCGTTTGATGGATAAGCGCAGCCACCTTGATCCACAACGAGATCGTTCTGACGAATTCGAACAACGCAGTGAGGATATTCAAAGAAATAGAAGAGTCAAAGATGGATCCATACAGAATGGGTTTCAACGGATCCAGACTAAGTAAAAGTCCATGAAAGCAACAGCTTCTTCGACCTGATACTCATTAGTGGCACGAGGACATGCCACTTTGAGTATTCGAGCACATTATCGTCTATCCATGTAATATCTTCATATGCCTCCGCAAGGAATGCCCACAAGCCTCAATAGAAATGAGCCCTTTATTCAATGGAAGAAAGTGCTATTCTCACCGAATGGTCTTCGGCCCGCCTTTGCGAAACAACGATTGATGCCTCGTGCATCACCCTCTGTTTCAGTATGGACACCATGGCCAGAAAACCGTTGGATGCAATTTAGATACGTCGAATGCGACAGCATGTCCTCCAAAGGGATCTCTTTAACACATTCCGACAACGCGGCAGGGGCCATAGCACAAGTAGCGTCTCTCAGAAACATTATCCAATTAGGGTCAGCACTTTCGCCGGAGATAAAATCGAGTGCCGAGTCGTAAACGGCGATTTCCCAGTCCACAAGTAGGCACTGAGCTGTGATGGTCGCTTGGTCAAGCGCTATAGATATTCAGGGTCCGGACAATTTGATGTTGAGACATTATGAGGTAGAAGTATCCACGTCGAACGCGATACCTGATTTCAAGGGAAATGTGTGAGATATTTGGAAAACATTTGCGAAAGCCGATGAAATTGGGAAGATTGGATAGGATTTTATATGGTTCCTGGGCGACATCCTTGGTTGTGCTGATAATGTCGACATGTCAAGTAATTGTACGGGTGGAATGAGGGAGATAATGTCGGTAGATCAGAGAGTCATTGTTGCGTATTATGGAGCTGAGGTAGAACAGATATTCATTCGTTGGAACGAAAATGTCCCGAGAAGCGATGTGCACAAATACGTCCTTCCAGAGGCTGTTGATGAGGGGACATGCTTTCATGAATATAATTCTACCCTCTGAGGGTTGTTCAGAGTACCAGAATTCTGAGATAATGGTATGAATGAGTTCAGGAGGGAGCTGGTCGAGCATAAGAGAAGTCGGAACATGTCTCATATCTTCGGCAAGCGAATCCAGTATCGGCATCCCCCGGCGCCTAAAAGCACTTGCGCTCAGCCACGACGACTTCCTTAGCTGACCGACTCCTGGATAACTACGAACGAAAAGGAATCTGCTTTTCTCGATGCTTTGGCTGGAAATTGCACCTGAAGCAATTCACCAGTCACCTTGTCTTCGCGACGTAGCATTACTGCCCAGCTCGACGCACTCTTGCTGCCTAAAAAGAGACAGAAGATGCGAACCTTGGTTAAAGAGATAAAATAATCAAGGATGGATACACACGGGATTGTTTTTGACTGAGCCAGACTGAATAAATCGCATGGAAGCCTCAGTTATTCCTTTGACTTTGTCTCTTCATACTAATAGATACAAGGCTGTCCCAATACGACCGTTCGCGCGTAGTATCGTCTTCGAGCATGTACTTCATATCTTCATACACTTCCTGCAAAGAACGTCCGTAAACCTCAGTAACAATGAGATTTTTGGGTAAACAGAAGAAAGAGATAGTCTTACCAGATGGTCGTCGGACTGCCTTCCCGAAGCGATAATTTATGCTTCGTACATCGCCCTTCGTCTCTGTGTAGACATCATGGCCAGAAAATCGTCGGATGCAATTTAGATACGTCGAACGCGATAGAATGTCCTCCACAGGGATTACCGCAACACATTTGCGCAATGCGGCAGGGGCCATAGCACAAATGGCGTCTCTCAGAAACATTCTCCAATTAGGGTCGGCAAATTCGCCATGGATAAAATCGGGTGCCGGGTCGTAAGCAGCGATTTCCCAGTCCACAGGTAAGGCACTGAGCTGCTTCGTTGCTTGGTCAAGCGCTATGGATATTCGGGTCCGGACAATTTGATGTTGAGACATTATGCGACTGAAGAATCCACGTCGAACGCGGTACCCAATTTCAAGAGAAATGTGTGTGATATTTGGAAAACATTTGCGAAAGCCGATGAAATTAGGCAGATTGGATAGGGTTGTGTACGGCTCCTGGGCTGCATCCTCCATTGCATCGATAAGGTCGACACGGCAGGTAATTGTATGGGTGGAATGAGGGAGATAGTGTCGGTATATCAGAGAGTCATTGTTGCGTATAATAGAACTGAGATAGAATAGATATTCATTCGTTGGAATGAAAATGTCCCGAGAAGCGATGTGGGTAAAAACGTCCTTCCAGAGGGTGTTGATGAGAGGACATGTTTTCATGAATATAATTCTATCATTCGAGGGATGTTCATAATACCAGAATTCTGAGATAATAGTATGAATGAGTTCGGGAGGGAGCTGGTCGAGCATAAAGTCGTCGTCTCCAAAAACTCGGCAGGCTAATCCGGCATCGGCATTTCCCGGCGCCTGAAAGCACTTGCGCTCAACTTAGGCTCAGCCACCGTTTCAGGCGTCGTGGCTGAGGACTTCCCTATTTAACCGACTCCTGGATAGCTATGAATGAAACCCACATCATCGTCGTCATCAATGCCTCTAGATGCGTTCTCTGTCACTGCACGCTTCTCTTCAGGGTGCAGTCCTATGTTCACCCGCTCTCTTCTCCATCTCACCTCATCCTCAGCATCCACAAAACCCTTCACGTCGCCTAAATGCACGACGACGTTCCCTCCATCGACGTCTCCAGTCTGCCCTCCTACACAGCCACAGGGTGCTCCGACTCCACAGCCACAGAGCATCCCTTCGACGAGACCTCCCCTTCACAGCCGCAGACACTTCGTCTTGGAGTAACCCCTCCCTCCAGCATCTCGGTCCTACATCCGCATCCTTCCCCGCACGACTCCGCGTGATTCCTCCATCCGCGCACACCCTCCCGCACCTCTACAGACGAGGGTAGGATAAGTAAACTGACACACGTTTCTATACCTCGCAACTTGGTATGATGTCCTGGAATGAACGGTGTGTTGGTCAGTACGAACGTTGTAATATCAGAGTTACATGCCTATCTATACGTATAGTCCCTAGGTTGAATTCTGAACTCACTTTAACAGAAATATCTCGGTTGAACGTGAATTGTTCACCGGGATTTTAAGATTGAGCTCTATGACACAAAATAGAGCCTACACGATGTCAGTAACAAAGACAATTAGATAGGCAACAGAAAGGAACGTACCGCCGTTGAGAGGGCTCGACGGTGTTGCGGTGTTCCTAGTCTTGAAGGATTCTTCCAGTTGCATACAAACATCTTTACAGCATCGCATTAGCTGTCAGCGATCTCATGTAGCATCGATTACGCACCTGAGTGACCACTACATCGGTAATGGTCGAAGCTATGGTGGGGCGAGCTGAGAATCTATATCAACAAGAACAGAAACGGTGCAGGGAGATAGTTCACCGTAGACGCATGGAAACGCTACAAGCAAAAGAATAAGACATGGGAAGAACATAGTATCAAGATGGAAGCTTACAACCACCACTGTTAGCCAAGCACAATTGTACTGTCAAGAGCATAAGCAAACGTCTACGCGATATTAACCTGGAGTCCAACCCTGAGAGGTAAGGAGAACTAACCGCCGGTGACCGTGTTTTGGACGAATGCTATGGCACGGAAACCTAGGGTAGCTGCTGGACAAGCTATAGAAACACTCGTCATTAGTACACCTGAAAGAAGTTTATAGAACAGTGGCTTACCCGTAAATTCGCTAAAATACAAAACGGTCAGAACGCAAGTAATTGAGAGTGTTACTTCAGCCTACCCTTCGTGAATCGTTGCCCACCAGAACTGGGCCGGATTTCTGTACTAATTTCCCGGATGTACGTAGACTTGAGGAGAGTTAAGAACGACGAAATATAAAGCAATAGAGAGGGACTCACACTACGGACGGCTTCATTAAAAAACACCTTCATGTTGACTATCTGGCAGCTCTCGGTTATCGAGTTGGTTGATTTACTGCGCTACCCAGTAACAAGAGGGGGAGTTAGTTTGTAAGGGGGTTACCGAATGACATCGAATGCATACCTTGTGCGCTAGCGAATGCAGCCGAACGCTAACTAAAGAGAACCTGTAGAAGAGTGAAGTAAAAGAATTGGTCAGTAGAGGAAGAAAGAGAAACAGAGGGCCACGTAGATAGCGTACCATTTACACTCCAGAAGCCTAACCAGGATACACAAATAAGAGAATGAGGGTGGAACAGATAAGAGAAAGGCTTACCTTTGCTTGTAGCGAAGTAGCGAAGCCAAGGTGATTTGATGGGCTTCCTATCGTTGGACTAAAGCTTGACGACATTGGTGTTGATGTTGAAAGCCTACGCGATGTTAGAGTGAAATAAAACAGTAACGTAGCAAAATAACTCACTGCTGGTAATGCTGTCGTTACAGACCCGTCATCGTTGACGATCAAGGCAGGAAACAAATCAACAAAGGGAAGGTGCCGGTGGTCACGAGACCAAACCCTCCGAGAAAGACCAAGGCGACGTCGAGACATACAGTGAGCGGAGATCCGCCAACAACATGCCCGAAGAGGGTAGCAAGGTGGTGGACATCATTCTAGAGAGAGAGGGAAGAATGGAAGGCTAGAGGGAGGAGGAAAGTGGGGATGATGAGAAGTAAAGTAGAACATACCTCGTATTTAAATCTTTCGTGTGGGCGTGGAGCTCAGGGGAAGCTCAGGTAATTGGTAAAACTTGAAGCGAAAGCAAGCGAATATCGAATATTTGAAGCCGGCACCTCTGAAAATTGGAAGATCTAACAAAGCAGATTTCGAGGGCCGACAGAGTTTCCCGTGTCGTTACAGTCGTAGTGCTGCCGGTATTGCATACGAAGCAATATCTTGGTATGTTTGGGAAAATTAGAGCTCGTCCCTGCCCTTCACTCGACGCCGATACAACTTGGTAAACTCGTAAGTTTTACACAGACACGAGGGGAAGATGTACACACTCCCAAAGATTCCAGCTTTCAAGTTGGTTTTCCAACAGGAACGCGGTGGAATTCCGTTTATGTGGGGACCCTGATCCCGCAGTAGGGTCGTCTTGAAAGCACATGAATACAATAACTTTGAAATGCGGAAACTTGGTACTTACGTTGGAGAATGTCTCTGTTGCATCTTCAACCGGTTAGACTGCCCGTATAACTTCTGGGCGCAGTCGTCGTAATTGTATTAAGAGGAGTAGCACGTGGTGCTATTATTTTGGTGAGTGTAAGCTCGGAAATTGATATACCAACGCCTCGAGAACGTACCAAGGGGGGTAAATGCAGGCATTGCTTGGAGACGACGGAATTCCCTTGATGCCTGGGGGATTGCAAGCCCCGGGTATCGTGTACTGCCGCCATCATAATCAAGTATATTTCGGTTTGCTCATGTCCCGGACCACGGAAAGAACGAAAACTTGGATTATCGATAGGTGGTGCTCCTGTACAACGTTCAGGCTGTCGCGCGACGTCATGATCTGACACGTCGGTGCTTCCGTCCGATGGGCTCATTATTGACTAACGCGTCTTGCAGGGTCCAAGGAGGCGTCAGTATATCAATGCAGGTCGTATTGAGCTGGATTTCGTGGTAGGAACACATGTAAAAACGCAAGGATCACGATCAAGAAGTCAAATATATCAGAACTAGGAGTCCGATACATTCGGAGCGAACAGAGAAACAAAATTAGAGCAAGGAAACTCAGACATAGATTCAATTGGCTGGGGGGAGTCGTCTCCCTAAAGAATCCGGCTGAACTGGTTGAACTCACCTTCCCCCGGCTCATCAAAATGGACCGAAATTGGCGTGCTTATGCAAGTTTAAACTCCGATAGCATGCGGAGCACAGCGGTGACAACACCATTTCACTGCTTTCACTCAGTTGCTGTGGTTCACGAAATCAAGACATCTTGTTTATTTTGACATCAGCGACGAAATCGTCGACGACATCTAATTTTGAATTCCCCTATTCTTCCACCACCATACCGCGCGGTGCTGAGCCGATATAAAACGTACCGAAGACAACGCGTAGAACGTCCTCGTTCTCAGCGTTACTCTTACCACCACCGGCTCCACATTGTCTATATTCCAGCCCTCCACTTCACCTAACTTTTTGGTTCCATCTTATGGGGGGTTGTGTTGGGAGACTTACAATGTGGGATAAAGTTTCAACTACCAGTACTACAACGGTGAGTCTTCCTGAAGATGCGTAGAGTATTGCATCCAATAACTTGGAATAGGCAGACAACCCTGGATGTACCTCGGCAGGCGAAATGCAAACCCCATCCCCACCACCACCAGTGTCCACACAACCTCAACCTGCCGAACGAGTTTGTCTCCAGGCTAACCATACCTCAAGCGTCCCCCCATGTACCTCCTCGTCCAGAGTTTATTCCATTTACAATCCCGTACCTCTGTATGTCGAAACCGTATGATGGCAAAGATTTCTGGTCATATCCAGAGCGTTGTGGGTGGATCATCGATGCGAAAGACACGCAGTGTCATGTCCTCTGTCCTCCTGGCGTCTGTCGAGATGGCATGGACACGGAGGAGCTGCAGGGCGACACACAAGTGCGAATATTCTCTCGTTCAGACGGCAGTGTCGTCGTTGCTTCAGACAAAATTGCGTTCTTGCAAGCATGGCTTTTCTTCGGTGTCCTTACGGAAGTGTCGGATTTGTGTGGACTCGACATTGATTTGGCAACTGAATTCTTTCTCGAAGACGGATCGGTTTCGACGGCTAGGCTCAATGGTCTGCCAGGACGATGGTTCAAGGTTGCAGTCATATCTGGTCGTGCAGGGGACAAAGTGCTTATGGAACGCATTTTGACCATTGCTCGTCATTCTCATTTGATGCTGACCGAAGAACGAAGCAGTGATGAATATACAAAGTTGACGTTCGATTACTCGTATGCCGAGTGCCGTGTCTTCCATTCCTTGGAAATTCTTGTTCGCACAGTCGGTCTTCACCTACTCCTACATACCTACATGCCAGGCTTTACCACAATGGAAGAGGAAGGATGGGGTCGAAAGAGAATCGAGCGGAGCCTCATCTGGCCGGCTTGGTATAGGCGGCCTCTTAGTGAAGGGCTCTATCAGCTCGGTGGTCTAGCGCGAGACAAGCTTGAAGAGCAAGGTTGGTGCGCGAGTGAGCTCAACCTTTTGGAAGATTACGAATTGGCTTTTGCCTCCCTTCTCTCTCGTCCGAGGATCAGAGATCATTCCAGTTGTGGTGATATTATCTGCCATGCGTATCAAATCGGAGGAGCTCGACCTATCGTACCAGACATGTAGATGATGAATGTAGCTGCGACTTCGTTGGCTTGGACACTGGCAGTCTGATTGCCGTTTTATCCCAAAACAAGGTCCCGAAACTAGTCATGACGGATAAGCTGGAGTTGGAAGTGGTGTCGGAAAACGACTATCCATATATTGCGCTTTCACATGTCTGTACGTCCCCGGCCCCCTTTACGCGCCCTTGCCAGGTTCTAAACGAGAATCTTTTATTTCTACTAGGGGCCGATGGGCTTGGAAACCCGGAAACAAATACACTTCCGCGATGCCAACTTCGGACGTTTACGGGATTATGTAAACCAACTTAACCGCGTACATGAGCATGGCATCTCATTCATCTTCTTTACCAATCGCCTTCTGGATGGATACACTTTGTATACCTGTTCATCCAAGCGAGTTGGCAAAGAGTTACCGCAAGAAAGCCATCCAGCTTCTCGGAAAGACGTTTCATGAGGCAACTGCAGTGCTAGTTCTCGACAGGGAACTAGAAATTGTAGAATCTGCTACTGTGCCGTTTCTAGAGTTGGGCTTGCGTATCCTCTGCAGTGGATGGATGAAGCGTTTATGGACACTCCAGGAAGCCACACTTGCTAGTGAGGCTCATGGCGTAGATAAGCTTTACTTCCAGATGCAGGATGGTCCATTCCTGTATCAGAAGTACAATCGAGATAGGAAAGCCTTAAACAGCCTAGACAAACACACGACTGAGATTCAGGCTGAAGAGCGAACCTTGCTCTATGACGATGGGATTATGCTGCTGCTTGGGGAACAGATTCCATCTGTCCGAGCTATGCGTGAAAAGCGCAAAGGCTGGTCACCGTTCCAGGTCATCTATTCTGCCATAGAGCATCGATCTACCAGTAAATTCGAAGATGTACCGGTCTGCATTGCGTCTTTGCTGGGCAAAGACCTAACCACGATTGTGTCTACTTCGGATGCAGAACAGAGAATGGCGAACTTCTACATGCTCATGCGCGAAGTTCCAATTGGAGTGCTGTGGTGGTGTGACAATTTAGAGAAGCTGATGAAGAGGCCATTTCGCTGGGCACCCAAGTCTATCGCCAGCTGCGCACCTGCGACTTTCATCGGTTGGAAAGATGGTATCTGTGATGCGGCCGGTCTGCATGTCAAGATTCAGGGGTTTATGTTTGCAGAAAGTGAAGTAGAGCGACATGGTCCGAGCTCTATTCTCCCTCGCGTTTTCAATGTTGTTTCTGCAGAAACAGGCGACGTACTTGCTCGGGTACGGATGCACGATTGGGAGAGTATCGCCCTGCAGCAAAATTTAGCTTTGATTCACAAGCCTCGTCGGCAAGATTCTCCTCCGAATGCAGTGTTTGTGGCTGTTGAAGAAACTGTCCAGTTACCGGGCGGTGATAGAGTCCATTCGACCGAGTATGTGTGCACAATTGTTGGTCATGCGGATATATTTCCCCCGAGGCATGCTACGGAAGCAGTATTCCAAGTGCATATGACCATGGAGGATCAGAGGTGGTGCATAACTTGAAATGAATTATAACATCTAGAGAAAAGGCTTTGTAAATAAAACATATTTAGAGGTGTCTGTTAAAATGTATATAATAGATGGGATAGTGTTTTCAGTGCCGCGATGAGCCTCCACCAGTGCCACACGCTGTGCGAAGAAATATCCATGGCGCATTGCTTCACGTCGAGACTGCTGCTAGTGCTAATGGGAGAATGGAGTGATCGTTTGGCGGCTAGGTTCTTCACGACTTGGCTCACTCCTTACGGATGCGAGACGTCAATATGTCGAGATGCTTTAGATGGTGGTTCAAATCAGAGACAGTTTTTTTTCCAAGAGTGTAATATCTTCGCCAAGCGCTGTCGCGTCAATATCGAATAAGGGATTTCCTGAGCGAAGGCAATTGAAGATATCTTGACCCTCAACTAAGGCAAGCAGAGGAATCCTGCACAGATGACACATCGTTCTCGCAAAATCCACAACGCAAACACCGTTCGAGTGGCGACGGCATGCTCTGGAAATTATGTGAGACCAGAATTGAGGAATATATGTGCTAACTAGAGTTTGAGGGCCACCACATACGCGTGGCAGATCCGAGTCCCTATACACTTTTTTCGTGCCCATCAAAGCTGACAGGCTTCTCTTTTATTAGCATGTCGAGAGGTTCAGTCGACACCCACACGGTCTTCCCGGGCATGGACTACTATTAGGTACCGAGGTTTACATTGAGTCACGCGATCACTACCGTAGTATTTTCCCGTTCGTTTTTCGCTAGCGTACCTCAGTCTTTTACCACCATATCGAGTGGAGACTGAGGTACGTCTTCTCCTACGATACTTACTTCTGTAGTACTTATGTTCTCGTAGCTCGTTGTTCCTTAACATGGCAAAACAAAGTTGAAACCAGGACAACTTACCAAAGCTAGATCAGGATCTACAGCAAAAAGCTCGCTCGGCGGCTTTGCCGCCAGCTCGTATTTTGCCTGAATGTCATAGCAGGACTATAGACCATCCCAATCATCTTATCTACCGTGATTATGCATAATACAAAACTCTTTAGCCTTCTATATCCAAGGAGGCTGTAAGAGCAAGTACTCCCGGCTAGAAAGAGGATCTTTCCAGGCAGTATTGTGGCCTTGCTAGCTTTCACGAGAGCAGTGCTCCGGCCCAGTGGGAGAAACAAGAGTCAATCAACTCAACAGTTTTAATTAGATGTAAGAGTGACGTTGAATATGCGTCGCTTACTGCAACTAGTCCTGGTAAACAATTGATAGTCTTCACCGTCTCCTTCTTCGGAACCACATGCTCCATCACGCCCGAGTTCTGGAGGAACGAATACCATCACTCTTGAAGACAAGGCTTGGAAGGAAATGAAACAGAGAGGCTAGCATCCGTTGATGGAATATTGTCTAACGGAGACATGCCTGCCTAACCGTGCATTCTCCCCACCATACCCACCGCTGCTACTCGTTCCGCCCCCCTTCACAACCTCATCCACACCAACTGACCACCAAAATCAACACTGCAGATGGCTGTTAGCAAGGTGTTAGGTGGCGTGGGAGGACACACATACCAGCCAGTCAGTGAACTCTCGCATGACGGATGCCAGTGGTTTCAATAACGAGAGAGTGGGCACAAAACCTAGGGAGAAAAGAAATTGAGAAAGAAATAGATTATCAAAGGTGAGTGCACGCACCTTTATTGGCGTCGTCAGCTAATATGCGCGCACGTTCTCGCTCTCACATTTAAGTATCCGAAGAGACGGCTCCGTTGGCATCAACTCAGCGCGGGCGGGCGTACTGAATACGCTCTGACCTTGTGCTGCTCGCTGCATGCTATATTGCATGAGCACAGGTCAACGAGCTGCTTGGTGATTGGAGAGGGTAGGGGCAGTGTCGGGGCCTTGACAGTGGTAGTAGAATACCTGAGAGGAGAGAAACTAAGAAAAGATAAAGATATCAAAGATGAATATACATGTACTTTATCCATAACAAGTTCTCCCTCAATCTATGCCTACCTTCTGTATGTATCCTCTTCTCATCGAATATGATCATCGTTGTCCCCGGTCGTATACTTCTGCAAGGCGTGAGCATGTAATCGAGTTCTAGGGGTCAAGCCACCCTTACCGACTCTAGCATGCATCAGCCTCGTGGCCATCAGTCCTGGCCAGCTAATACAAAGGTTGTTGGGGAGGTGGTCGGCTTGATCAGTGAGGGGACGAGCTACAAGGATTTGGGAAAGGTAAGAAAAATCAAAATTAGCAAGAAATCAGTATACGCACCTTAGATCCTACAAATCGGACACTCGATAACAGTATCCCGCATGCGTATACGAGTATGCACAGTCGATAACCGAGGTAGCATCGTTGTTTCTGCTATTGTTGGAAATCGGAACCCAGCCCTCCTGCTCGTACCCTCGCCTCCACCCTCATTCCAGCCTTCTCCTCCCCATACTACAGCCCTCCCTAGCCCTTTGCCAGATCATTTCTTCGCTCTGAAAGTCCCCCACCCATCCTTTTGGCGTCCTTCTTCCTCCTTGTTGTCACTGAGTTTGCGCTCCATGCACCCTCCCACTGGAGATGGAGGCCGATATCGAACCCCAGAGCGAGAAGGGGTCTTCCATATGTTCAGAAGCTGTGTTTGACAGCGATTCACCCTGATAGTAACGTGGGGGACGCTAGGTCAGTCGGGGGTAGTAATGAGGTCGTTCTCGTAGCAGCGGCGGGTGTCAGGAGCGTCGTCGTCATCGTCATCGACGACGGTAGTGGCCGTTGTGGTGATTTAGCTCATTTGAAGGAGGAGAGAATTGTGCCTCGCACGAGGGCTTGCGCAATGCGCGTGGGCAGGGGCTGTTGAGGTTATTTCGGCTCTTGGGGCCCCTACTTGGTCAAAACATGTGGTAAAATATACTTGTCAGGACAGGATGTAAACCAAACATACCTGGACCCAGGAATAGATGCGAGGGAAGTATGGGACGACGACGACATAGAAGAGAAAGAGGTGTCGATCGCGTCACCGGCAGCTGGCCAGCTGTGGAAATACGCGTGGCTGGACTCGAACTTGATTTGCATTAGCACGTAGGCCGCAAACCATTTGGATCAATGAAGCTATGGAGTTCTAGGTGTATTGGATATGGTGAGCAGAAGAAAGCTCGCATTTAGATGCAATTAGGGCGTTGCAGTGCGTATCGCCGTTTGAGAGGAAGACGACAACATTGGCTGAGAATTCATGTTGAATTGGCTGCGGTGAGGTCGTCGGTAGTCGTGGCGATGGTCAACGACTAAGTTAGCGTTGTTGGTTCTGCGATTGTTGGAAATTGGAGACCCGATCTCTATCCCGGCCTCTCACTCGTACCCCTCTACTCCACCCTCATTCCAACCTTCTCCTCCCCATACCACAGCCCTTCCTATCTCTCAGCTATATCATCTCTTTACTCTGAAAGTCTCCCGCCCCTCCTATCGCTGTTCTCCTCGTTCTGCGCGTTGTCATTGGGTTTGCACTCCATGTGCCCTTCCGCTGCGAGATGGAGGCCGATATAGAAACCCGGAGTAAATACAGGGTTGTCCACATGCTCGGAAGCCGTCTTCAACAGCGATTCGTCCCGATAGTGATGTCGGGGATGTTAGGTCTGTCGGGGGTGATAATGGGGTTGTCTTTGTGGCAGCGGCGGGTACCGGGAGCGTCGTTGTCACCATCGGCAGTGGTGGCAGTGGAAGCGAGGTGGTGCTTTACCTCGTATGGAGGAAGAGATAATGCCGCCTCGCTTGAGGGCTTACGCGTGCGTAGGGGAGCCCTTGATGCTATTCTCGATTTTTGGGGCCCCTGCTTGTTCAAAAGCATGGAAAATAAATTGTTTAGCAAAGAATATAAACCAAACATACCTGTATCCAGTCATTGGGGGGAATGGATCTGAGCTAAGTATGAGACGACGAGGTATGAATGAGTTCAGGAGGGAGCTGGTCGAGCATAAGAGAGGTACATGTCTTTGGCATACCTAGTTCGACAAGCGAATCCAGCCACGGCATCTCCCGTGAAGTGCTAGAGGCCCCTGAAAGAACACCTAGTTGACTCCAGGATGCCATGAACGAAAGGAAGTTGGCCTTACTCGATACTTCAGCTGAATTTCGAACATCAGGAAATTCACTCGCTACATTCACATGCTAGCAGTGCACCTTCGTGGTAGGGCCTGACAGGTGGCGATGCAGAGCAGCAAAACTTGAAACTACAAGCTGCTAATCAATGCTTTACTGAGGTGAGAGCGAATCATCCGGCAGTTCCTGTCGAGGTAATCTCAGGCACGTCCCATATTCTTCATTGCGAACATATGTGTACGAAGGCAACAGATAATCATGAAATTGAGACGTTTTGGCAACCAACAGTAAGGAACTATCGTTAGCACTGATGTCCGATTCGCAAGGTGTGCACGGAAACAGAGGTGGTCGTGTTATGAACAATAATACAGATGTCAAGCGGCTGCTCTGATGAAATGGAGGAACGTGTGTGAGATGGACGAGATGGGACAATGTGAGATAGAGCAGCAGATGCCGAAAAGTCAGGTATCCCAAGATATCGTCCCAAGCGACTGTCCTCTGAAAAAGCCTTTAAACGGCGGACCAATCCCTACACTACACCTTCTTCGCGACGCAGCATTACTACCCAGCTCGACGCACTCTTGTTGCCTAAAAAGAGATGACAGAAGATGCGAGCCTTGGTGAAAAGATCAAACAATCAAAGATGGATACTCACAGGATTGTTCTTGACTGGGACAGACTGAATAAATCGCATGAAAACCTCAGTTATTCCTTTGACTTAGTCTCTTCATACTGACAGACACAAGGTTGTCCCAATACGACCGTTCGCGCGTAGTATCGTCTTCGAGCATGTACTTCATATCTTCATACACTTCCGCAAAGAACGACCGTAAACCTAAATAAGAATGAGATTTTTGGGTAAACAGAAGAAAGAGATAGTCTCACCAGATGGTCTTCGGACTGCCTTTCCGAAGCGATAATTTATACTTCGTACATCGCCCTTCGTCTCCGTATAGACATCATGGCCAGAAAATCGTCGGATGCAATTTATATATGTCGAACGCGATAGAATGCCCTCACAGGGATTGCTGCAACACATTTGCGCAATGCGGCAGGGGCCATAGCACAAATGGCGTCTCTCAGAAACATTCTCCAATTAGGGTCGGCAAATTCGCCATGGATAAAATCGGGTGCCGGGTCGTAAGCAGCGATTTCCCAGTCCACAGGTAAGGCACTGAGCTGCTTCGTTGCTTGGTCAAGCGCTATGGATATTCGGGTCCGGACAATTTGATGTTGAGACATTATGCAACTGAAGAATCCACGTCGGACGCGATACCCAATTTCAAGGGAAATGTGTGTAATATTTGGAAAACATTTGCGAAAGCCGATGAAAGTTAGGCAGATTGGATAGAGTTGTGTACGGCTCCTGGGCTGCATCCTCCATTGCATCGATAAGGTCGACGCGGCAGGTCATTGTATGGGTGGAATGAGGGAGATGGTGTCGGTAGATCAGAGAGTCATTGTTGCGTATAATAGAACTGAGATAGAACAAATATTCATTCGTTGGAATGAAAATGTCCCGGAAAGCGATGTGGGCAAATACGTCCTTCCAGAGGGTGTTGATGAGAGGACATGTTTTCATGAATATAATTCTATCATTCGAGGGATGTTCAGAATACCAAAATTCTGAGATAATGGTGTGAATGAGTTCAGGAGGGAGCTGGTCGAGCATAAAGGAGTCGTCTCCAAAAACTCGGCAGGCTAATCCGGCATCGGCATTTACCGGCGCTTAAAAGCACTTGCGCTCAACTTACGCTCAGCTACCGTTTCAGACGTCGTGGCTGAGGACTTCCCTAGTTAACCGACTCCTGGATAGCTATGAACAAAAATATTCAGCTTCTCTCGATTCTTTGACTAGAATTTGCGCCTGAAGCAATTCGCCCGTCACCTCGAAATGCTTCCGGAAGAACGTCGTCTATAGAACTTTACACCCGAACGCCCATCCCTATGAATTTTGCAATCGCAGTCCAGTCCTATGACAGGCAATATTCCTACCTCTAGTTGTCCAAGTAGATGGGATATTTTCTTTACAAGCTAGGACAGAACTATCTCTCTCTTCAACACGTCCTTGGAATTCGGCCCACTGTGGCAACCGGAGGACTGGCAGTATCACTACCGTACGCAAACAAATCATGCGGGACCAGGCCCTGGACAAACTTTTCTGCCTTGGCGTTGTCAGATACTGATCCTGTCGGGTAAGCTGCAGCTTTTCAATACCAAGGATAGTCTCACCGGCTTCTCGTTATTCGCAAATCAGGCTTTGAAGCACCGCCGGGCTTGGAATTTTCGCGCTCCTACGTGGTGCTTGTTTGATAGGTTACTCGTTCTCGCACAACACCTCAGTTGAAGGACGCGCTGCATCAAGTGTTTCCTTGATTACGAAAACGAGATCGAGAGTCGTCACGTCAAGGATATAGAAGTTTCGAGGGCTTAGATCCTCGTGATCTTGACCTATACGCCCAGTGTTCTAGCGGCTTGGTTCACGCTTGAGATATAGCGCACGCCAGGAAAGAACGGTGTGAGTGGTGTATCACTCCTTCCAAGACGTGGTAGGTCATTTCAAAATCAATTCTAATTCAAGTACGTCAAGGATCGCGCCAACGAATTGTGCGTGGCAAGTTCACATGGTCAGCTGTCTACATTTGCGTTATTATTGCATCAGGTGTTCTATCCGATGGGCGGCGTCATGGAACCGTGGATTATTGCATGGCCCGAGCACTGGCCCATAGAAGCCTGGCGCAACCACCGAGTCGCTACTGGCTTGAATAGTTCTTTGACGCCGACTTGTGATGGGTTCTATCAGCGATCTACTACTACTATTCGCCACCCACGGCCTGCAGAGGTTATAAGCTGGACGCTTCCTCTCCCCATTAAATCCTTCGTGTACTCGTCTTGGTTTTCACTATGAAGATTCCTCACTTGTATCCCTGGGTTATTGCTGCCTTGGTATCCTCGGTATTTTCGTCTGTGCCACTTTCTAGCATTGACAAAAATTCAACTCTGGGTCGCTATGTTCCTAACGAATACGTCATCGAGATAGCTGATTTTCAAAACCTTCGACGGAGGACTCTAGGATCGGTGAGTCCTTTATCGTTTTGAAGTTTGGAGAAGTATAGTAAGGCGTGTCACCAGCTTCATCAAGATGTGTATAGAGAAATGCGTACAAGGGGTGTTAATGTTGACGTGAAGAAGGAGTATGATGTACCAGGCATTTTCACTGGGGCATCAATGACACTTTCGGTGAGGCGGCCGCAATCTGTCTATTGAATCTCTTTAATGAATATTTTCAGACACCAGAAGTACGCGTTATACTCATTTACCTATAAGTTGTCTTGAACTTGTGTTTCTTTTTACAGGATGTCGCTCGTGTGAATGGGATTCCTGGCGTTCAGGCGATCAGACCAGTGATGAAGATTCCGCCGCCCGAGTGAGTTCTCCTGAGAAAATTTGTTTAATAATTCTTAATAGAGCACGTTTGCAGACCCATTGACATGTTCATAGTCGACGATCCAAACGATCCTCGTCTTCCTGATTCGCTGAGCACCCACGTAATGACGGGGGTCGATAAGCTTCACGAGGAGGGTTTGTCTGGAAAAGGCATCAAGATTGGAATGTGGGTCGGTTTCGTGAATTTACCGTTTGATTCGTAAAACGTTGAACTCTACTTTCTTCTAGCATTGATACAGGTGGGTGCATTCAAGCCGTGGCCCGCCTGGACGTAATAAGCTAAAGAAGGTGTCATTTAGGTGTTGATTACACACATCCTGCTCTCGGAGGCGCTATAGGTCCCGGACACAAGATTATCGGAGGGTATGACTTTGTTGGAGATGCGTACAATGGAGCAAATACCCCACAACCTGACAATGATCCTCTCGACCAGTTGAGCTCTTTTTTTGTCTTCCACTCAGCCATGCTTATATGTGACTAGATGCGCTGGCCATGGAACCCACGTAGCTGGAATCATTGGTGCGAATCCGAACAATCCCTTTGGCATCGTCGGAGTCGCAAACGGTGCATCTCTCGCTGCTTATCGCATCTTCGGATGCACAGGTAGTACAACCGACGACGGTAAGCGGCCTTCCTATTCATCTCTGGGTCCTTCTTTGCGCTAATGTAGGATCCTCGGTTAGTGATCATCGATGCGCTCCTCCAGGGATACAAAGACAAGATGGACATCTTGACACTATCCCTTGGTGGTGTTGATGGATGGACTGAAGGCACGGGCTCAGTGGTAGCGAGTCGAATTGCTGAAACTGGTATAGTCGTGACCACTGCTGCGGGGAATGGTATGGACCACTATTACCTATCCTCTCGCGAGCGCGAACCTAACTACATTGCGATTAGACGGCGCCTATGGATCGTGGTACACATCCAGTCCGGGAAATGGCATTAGCGTCATCTCAGTGGCTAGTGTTGACAATACTGTCATTCCGATTCAAAACGTCACAGTCAAAGGTGTTGACCATAACCCAATTGTAGGTGCTGCTTGAATAGTTTGAATATGAAAAGGACTCAATGTGATCGTAGCCTTACCTTGAGGCCGTCCCATTTAATGTCACGGGTGATCTACCGATCTATGCGACTTCGACGAATACTTCCATCACGGACGATGCTTGCAATCCTCTTCCTTCAAACACGCCTGATTTGTCTGGATACGTGGTTATCTTACATAGAGGTACATGCGCCTTCGTATGTTTGAATTTTTCTTCTCAAGCTCAACTGAACTGACCACGGCGCAGACCCAGAAACTTGCCAATGCAGCGGCGAAAGGTGGAAAGATCTTCCTGATATATAAGTAAGTTTTAAGGTTGAATTCTCTTTCTCGATTGTCTAATTAATTCTTTAGTTTTGATACAGGCGCCTGGGATTCTATCGCAGTCGGTAATTATACCGCTGCCCTCATCTCTGCAGAAGACGGAAAATATGTGGGTCGCTATTATCGAGCCAGAAATACAAAGACTGACCTATGTCCTTAGCTTGTGGAACAATTCGCCGCCAATGCTCCTATCGCGTTAAACTTTCCTCAAACTGGAGGTCAATACAACTTTCCCAACACTCATGGAGGACTCGTGAGCAGTTTTTCCTCCTACGGACCTACGTTCGACATGTACTTCAAACCAGCTGTTGCTGCTCCCGGTGGCAATATCCTCTCCACCATTCCAGTGTCTCTAGGCTCCTATGCTGTGGAATCGGGCACTTCAATGGCGACACCTTTCACTGCTGGGGCTGCTGCGCTTATCCTTTGGTCCAGAGGAAGAAGCGCCGAGGTTGGTCTGGCGGTCAGAGACTTACTGCAAACCACTGCGTCTCCGATTCTGTCGGAAAACACAGAGGGTTCTCTATTGCAAACGGCCACTCAGCAAGGAGCTGGACTCATTCAGGTGAATCGCGCTGTGCATACAACCACGAGAGTGACGCCAGGACAACTCTTGTTGAACGACACGGCAAACTTCCGGTCATCGTACGTTGTTAGCTTCCTTGATTTTGCGCAGCTGAACAATATTGTACAGCCAAACCATTACTATCACTAATTCAGGACGGGAGAAGGTCAGATACCAATTAGAACATGTCGCTGCTGGTACCGCCATGACCATTCGAGACGTATGGTGTTGCCCTCTTCTCGTTTAGACCTCTGAAGTTGATTAATAAAACAGGCCTCCATCTTTGCTTCTTTGGGACCTGTACCCCTTACCAATGCCACTGCAAGAGTCAGGATCCGCCCGAAATGCCTCGTCGTCGGTCCTGGTGAATCGAAAAATGTTTCGATATCATTCACGGCACCTACAGTCGACACGTCCTCGCTCCCCGTCTTTTCTGGTTTCATCAACATCGTTGGTGCCAATGAGACGCTACACGTCACTTATTTGGGTGCTGCTGCAGCTTTGAAAGACCGGACTATCATCGATGATACAGATTCGTATTTTGGTGTTACTCTTCCGGTCATACTCGGTGGGGCGGGGAATGTACAGACGGACCCGACGAACTACACGTTGGTGGGGGGTGATATCCCTACGGCGGTGTTCAGGTGCGCACTCGTTCCATCTCTTTTTAGAATGTATTAACGAACGCCCGGAACTTAGGATGGCGTTTGGGTCTCCTGCTCTTTCGTTTGACCTGGTTGACAAGGATACGACTGTCGAAAATCCGATTCCAAGACGAGGTCTTCTATTATTCAGCGGTTTGTTCGAACCTGCAGAGAAGACATTTCAGACTATTGGTTCGCTAGCAGAGGTGGCTTATGTACCGAGGAATTCTGATGCTAGCGTTGGTTACATTCCATGCTTTTGAATTTCTGGTCCTCCACTCATTGGTTTGTTCAGGATGCCGCAGATAACGGATACAGCGCATTATCGATTCTTGGAACCTTTGCGAATAATTCGCAGATTCCTAATGGGCAGTACCGTGTTCTGATGAGGGCGCTAAGAGTGGCTGGTGACCCGTCGAATGAGAGGGATTATGAGAGCTGGCTAAGTCCAATTATTGGTATCGATGCTACGAGTCCGTAGCGTCCTTCAGTAGTCACAATCACCAGACTGGCATGTGCTGTACTGTTGTTGAAGCCAATGTAGACATATCTTGAACCTGGATAGCTGGGGAATTGCTTGAGAATTGGATCGTGAGTTATCTACTTCATGTTTTCCCTTCGCTGATGCATCGCACTTTATAGTTTCTCCTCTTAAGAGGACTAGTACTACTCATCGCTGTCCGAGCACCATTTACACTGGATCTATCTTTCCTGCATACATTCTTGCCGAGGAAAGTCTCCGCTCGATACGCGAGAACATCATGCCCAGTAAGATTTTATAGCTTATTCTCTCCTCTCTCGCTGCAGCTTGCGCTGCTCGCTTGCTCTCTTCCATCATTATCACGTATATCAGCCGCAAGGCGAGGATGGGATTCGGTGCAAGCCTGTAAAAGGCGAACACAATGTATTCGAGACCCTGAAGAAGCCTGTCCAGGGGAAAGACGAGGCAGTATGGAAAATGAATGTTTTTCTGGCAGAGAGGTGACCGGTACCGGAGCTAGGTGTGAGCGAACTTTTTGCAATCTGGCTCTATTGTCTTGGCAAACTGGTTGACCTCTACTGCTCCTACTCATACGCCCAAGATGCGAAGGTTTTTTATCAAGTAGACGGGAAGTTAGGTAAAAGGGTAGGCAGATAGTACAGAATCAGCAAGGCCGTACACCCCCGGCATGCGGCGGGCACTTGTTGTTTACTGAGGTCCTTATATCATAGCCTTATGGGTGACGCCGACTACGAGCAGCGGCAGCTGCAAGTCTTCAAAGATACCTTAATCGAAGCGAAGCTGTACAGGCCTGTGACAGAAACTGAAAAGGCTTCGCACAGTGATGTAACCCTTCTGTATGAACCTTTGATTTTGAAATGTTACTCTCGTTCACTTTCGTCCACCAGCCGATTTTTGCGCGCTAGACGATTCGACATCTCCAAGGCTCAGAAACAGTTCTCTGATACGGAAGTATGGAGGAAGAAACACGATGTGGATAGATTATTCGCTACGTTCGACGATGATGAGTTTGAATCGTCAAAGCGATTTTATCCTCAGTGGACAGGGACGACGGGATAAGGTGCGTTCCTTCATAATCATTTCGGGTTGCTATGCCTTCATGAAATAAAAATTCAGGATGGTAATCCTCTCTATGTATACCATATCGCGTCGCTAGCAGCCGATTCAGAAGGAACTGGATGCTGTTCCTCATGAACGACGGTATCAAAGAATGTGAGCTCAGTTTTTTCCCCATTTCTTATAATCTTAACTTTGACATCCAAGAGTGGCCTTGTACGAGGTGATGACTCGGTTAGTGCTACCTGTATGCACCCATATCCATCCAACACGAACGGTCTCATCATGCACGACGATAATCGACCTCTCTTCTCTCACCCTCGGCACCGTCATCTCACTGCGCTCGCACCTACAGGAAGCATCCCGCCTCGCCACGGCCAACTACCCAGAGACGCTCCACATCATCGCTGTCGTCAATGCCCCAGCGTTCTTCCCGATCATCTGGGGATGGATCAAGGGATGGTTTGACGAAGGAACACGAAACAAGATATATATCCTGGGAAAGGGTACGGATATGGAAAAACTAGAAGAATTCGTGGATCGAGAGCATATTCCCAAGGTGTACGGCGGCGAGTTGGAATGGGTGTACGGGAATGCGCCGTCTTTGGATGATGCAGTGAAGGAGGTGATGAAAGAGATTCCTTGGGGCCCTGCGGAATTTATAGACGGAGCGGTAGACAAGATGAGTCCAGTGTAGCATGCTGTATTTTTTCCAGGAGTGAATGAATTCATAGATAGCTTTATTGCCAGGCCTTAAGCTACCTGCCCGGGAGCAACGATCATAGTAGCACCGTATCTGCGTCCGTTTTCTGATTCACGGCCTTCGTGTTCAGTCTCCGTTTTCACTCAGGACTCGGATTTCGTGGCCCACCCAGCTCTGCTGTATCACGTCTCCCGCGTTTCCCTGCATATCGGTTTGGTGACCCTCAGGGACTTTCTTTCCATCAGCTAGAAGTCACCTCCTCGCAAGCGGGAAATTCCATACATATATAGCAGCCCTTGAATCACGCATTGAACTGGCAGATTCAGACTTTGAAACAACACGTGCTCCTGGACTACCCGCTCGCTCTTTCACCATGACTACGCTTCCTCCAGAACTTGTAGAGATAATCGTACATGAGGCGTGGTACTCTGAAATGCCGTCCTCCATCCGAAAATCATTCATGACTACTTGCCCCCGGATCAATAGAATATGGAAAGCCATCTACGCCCCTATCGCTTCTCGAGATATGTACATCACCAATATCGCATTTCTGGACTATCTATGCGACATAGCCAATGCCCAAGAATCTATCATCTACCATGACTTCATTCCTCGGCTTACCCGTACCATTACCTGCTTCGTCGACCTCCGAGAAGACGAAAGGGAAGGAGCGGCAAAAGAGGTGTATCGTTATCTCATCTTTCTACCAAACATCCTTGGCTTCGGAGCTCTGTTTCCACTTGTCCCATATATATCATTCCAGGCTCATTTGGATCGGTATTGGCTTGGATGAATGTTTTCGGCTCGTGCACGGTATTCCCATTCATGCTCGCTACGACCGGTTCCTTGTGAACGTCAACCCGCGTCACTGTCAACGCTGTGCTGGGAGGACACGAATGAACGTATACATTTCCGTGGTGCTTCACCACTCTAAGGTGTTCAACCTTACGCTGGTCCAATTGCGTGGAGCTGGTGTCCCCGAATACTTCTTTAGTACTATGGTATACTCTGGCTCGTATCATGAGTCGGTATGTCATGGTGTCCGACACTTCCGCCACACCGTATACATACATGAGAAGCAGCTTGGGTCCTGGGATTCAAGAAATATCAACCAGTAGCTTGTGGATGGCTTCCAAAAGGCCGGCAGAGTACGTGATTAGCACTGCTTCCATCTGATTACTGGTCTAACCTCCCCATTGCCAGACTGTCTTGCCAGTCTCATCGACCGATGGAGATTTAAACGTACACAAGCGTCTTTACCTGCACGGTTCTCTAAAACTAAGGATCGTGAGGCGTTGAGGTCGACCTTCCTTGACACTAGCGAATTGAACAAAGATATATATGATATATTATGTATAATCCCTAGGAAGGGTTGAAATGCATGGAAATGTCCGAAATAATTCCATATGAAGCGGCGGGAGAGGGAGAATTTGGTCCAAAGGACTTGATAAGGTTCAGGTGGCTGTGCTTATCTAACGACGAAGAGGACGATTTCTCGAGTCTCGACGACGGGTGGGGCGATAAGAGAAAAAATGGCGGCGATGCGCATGCATTTGGACTAGCTACGAGGACGTGCGGTAAAAGAAGAGAAACTTGATGAAAAGTTTCATCTGAGCGAAGTGCGTTCCCACGGCCAAACAGAAAAGTGCAAGTCCAACTCAGCTATTTTTCATAGGATCATAATTTCCCCACCCCGAAGGTATGCTCTGGTGCACAAACGGGAGGGGACGTCCCCCGTTCGGGCCGCGGCCAAACGTAGTCTCCAGTTCAAATCATTCAAACGGGAAACCGAGGCTTACCATTCATGCACCAAAGGGCAAAAAAAAACGAGACCCCCTCGGCAAAGGTGGGGTTCCCACCCGGGAAAATAAAACAAGTCCTAGCAGTAGAAGCAAGTCAGCACCGTGATTGAGTGGAACGACAGAACCTGCTCACCTCGTCAAGTCCTCACATCGCCCTAAACGAGTCAACCATCCAACACCGTCCATCAATGCATCAACCCCGAGTCCTCCTCACATAGCGGTTATTTACTCAGGCGCAACGGGTTAAACGGGGGTGATAGAAAGCGTAGGGAGCTTGGCTCCTAGACTTGAAATTCGTCGTGTTCTGGAATACAGTGCCGTCTGAGGTAACAGAAAAACACACGATCGCTCACCTTTCTACCCTAGCTCATGCGAAAACCTCCAGTTCTTCGTCTCCATACACGGAGCCCTAAACGACCAAAACTGGAGGTGCAGATATGGGTGGAATGGTGGTGCATGAGTGCAGGGAATCGTACTCTGCACACGCGGAATCCATACCCGACTCCGACACTTCCCTCCCCTCGTAGGGATGGACGTGTTCGAGGAACGTACACCGAACATCCGCATATCCTTCGTTCTCCGGAAAGCGATAGGTTATCTTGGCGTAAAACTCGGCCTAAATCGACTGGAAAGATGCGATGAAGGAGGGGTTATGGAGGGGAAGGAGTGCAGGTCCACAAGGGAGGAGAAACCTACGTCAGGCAATATCAAGGGGAAATCTCAAACAAGAAAATACGACTCACCTAAACTAAATGAACGAATCCACCATCGTGCACCTTTGCTGAATCCATATCTTGAAAAACCGGAGAGTCTCTGCGCCAAATTATGATGTAAGGGAGAATGCAGCAGGGAAAGCCAGAAGAAGACGACGGCAGTAAATGCCGTGTATAACGGGATGGCGCTGAAAAGTACGCTTCCCGAAGTTTGGAAGACATGATGTCGCTCTATTTGACAGGTCTTCAGTGGAAAGTTGAATACTCGTGAAGAGCTAGCAGAGAGAATTGAGCAGCCGGCATAGTGGTAGTACGGATAAAAGAGTAAGTTGCCGGCGTCTCTCGGATCGGCACTGGTCTTCACAAGAGAAACTCACTGTTTGTAATGCTGTCAATATTACACCGTCGTCGTGGTTGACGATCAAGGCAGAAAACTAGACTCGCAACCACGACGACGGTGTAATGACAGCATTACAAACAGTGAGTTTTTTTGTATCTCTCTGTGTTTTGTTTTACTCTAACGACACGCAGACTTACAACGTCAACGTCGTCAAGCTTTGGTTCAACGGTAGGAGGTCCTTCAAATGACCTTGGCTTTGCTCAAAGGTCAGCCTTTTCTCTGATCTTTTCTACCCTCATTCTCTTACTTTTCTCTTCCTGTTAGCTTTCCTCCATTATGTGAATGGTGCGCCATCTACACGACCTCTGTGTCTTTCTCTACTGAGTAACTTTCTCCTTAACTTTTCCTTGCTTCTTCGGTTGGCGTTCGGGAATTTACGGTAGGCCACCGTTCTATAAATTTCTTTCAGGTGTACTAACGACGAGAGTTTCCATAGCTCGTCCACCCAGCTCAGCCGTATCACGTTTCCTGCGTTTCCCTGCACATCGGTTTGGTGACTCAGGGACTTTCTTTCCATCAGCTAGAAGTCACCTCCTCGCAAGCGGGAAATTCCATACATATATGGCAGCCCTTCATTGAACTGGCAAAACGGATTCAGACTTTGGAACAACACGTGCTCCGTGACTACCACCTTGCTCTTTCACCATGACCACACTTCCTCCAGAGCTTGTAGAGATACTCATACACGAGGCGTGGTACTCTGAAATGCCGTCCTCCATCCGAAAATCATTCATGACTACTTGCCCCCGGATCAATAGAATATGGAAAGCCATCTACGCCCCTATCGCTTCTCGAGATATGTACATCACCAATATCGCATTTCTGGACTATCTATGCGACATAGCCCAAGCACAAAAATCTATCATCTACCATGACTTCATTCCTCGGCTTACCCGTACCATTACCTGCTTCGTCGACCTCCGAGAAGACGAAAGGGAAGGAGCGGCAAAAGAGGTGTATCGTTATCTCATCTTTCTACCAAACATCCTTGGCTTCGGAGCTCTGTTTCCACTTGTCCCATATATATCATTCCGGCTCATTTGGATCGGTATTGGCCAGGATGAACTCTTACGGCCCGTGCACGGTATTCTCATCCATGCTCGCTACGACCGGTTCCTTGTGAACGTCAACCCGCGTCACTGTCAACGTTGTGCTGGGAGGACACGAATGAACATATACATTTCCGTGGTGCTTCACCACTCTAGGATGTTCAGCCTTACGCTGACCGAATTGCGCGAAGTTGGTGTCCCCTGAATACTTCTTTAGTACTACGGTATACTCTGGCTCGTATCATGAGTCGGTATGTCATGGTGTCCGACACTTCCGCCACACCGTATACATATATGAGAAGCAGCTTGGGTCCTGGGATTCAAGAAATATCAACCAGTACTTGTGGATGGCTTCCAAAGGGCCGCAGAGTACGTGATTAGCGCCTGCTTCCATCTGATTACTGGTCTAACCTCCCCATTGCCAGACTGTCTTGCCAGTCTCATCGACCGATGGAGATTTAAACGTACACAGGCGTCTTTACCTACACGGTTCTCTAAAACTAAGGATCGTGACGCGTCGAGGTCGACCTTCCTTGACATCAGCGAACTGAACAAAAATAAATATAATATATATATGTTCATGTATGATTTCTAACAAGCTTCTGTCAGTGTGTACTTCGAGGGGACTACAGTCTACCCGACAGGTGGCCAGCACAACTAACCGTGTTTATGCACAAAAACATAAATGTCAAGCGACGAAGTGATTTAGAAATTGAAGCAAAGGAACATGCTCATAACAGCGGGATAGCTTCTTCGACTAGTATGTTCATGGTGACGCGATGACATGCCAATTTGAGCGTTCGGGCACAATATCATCCATCCATGTAATATAATCATACACGTCTGCAAGAAATTCCCATAAACCTCGATAAAAATGAGTGCCTTTCCGAACCGGTGATTAATGCCCCGCACATCGCCCTTCGTCTCTGTAAGGTAAGGACATTATAGCCAGAAAACCTCCGTACGCAATTCAGATACGTCGAACGTGATATCAAATAAATGAATATTTCACTTCAGCGCTAAATTCTGATAATTTCAAATCAAATACCCAAAGGTTCCCACGTTTTTCTTCTTTTCGACGCGACACATATTTCCTTCATGCTGCGTGCTCGATTTCTTGCTGCGACAGCAGGACTAAAGGACCGCCCTTGTAGAGCTTCCTGTCCCTATCGACTACAGAAACAAATACTCTGTCGATACTTGAATGGTCCTGCACCTCAATTACTAGACCAAAATGACGACGACCCGCTACGGCCATGGGCTACAGAGACTTACATCAAGCCGATAAGGCCCATCACAGGTATGCGTGCCGATGTCTATAGGAAGTCCCAGGACTTATATGGTTCTCTAGCTCATTCCTTAGGAACCTTACCTCCGGAGCCTGCTGAGGAAAGGGTCAAAATGGTACCGACGCAGAAAGAGCTGGAAGAGTTTATGCCGAACCTAGTGCGCTTTGGATGGACCGTTCGCTCCCTGTCGAGGCATACCGAATTTGGCTGGGCTCTGCACATGGCGTACAAGTTTTCGGACTATGCAACGATGATCTCTTTTGTTGGTCTGGTGGGTGGTGTCGCGAAGGATGAACATGTGTGTGTACGGTGCTATGTGTTTCTCTTGATGTACTGATCCCTGTCCAGCATCAGCCTAAAACATTAAGTTGCACAGACAATATGCTTGAAATAGAGCTGTGTTCTACGCAAGTAACTCGTCACCCTTCCGACGAACTCACTGGCCGGTGCTTTACGGTTAAAGATATGCGGTTCGCATACCGTGTTCAACGACATTATCTCTCCAGAATTGGCGTCACAACCGCAGATCTTGATGAACGGTACACACAAGTGCGACAGCATACAGCATACATCAAGTCTGGTCTTCTGAGGAAAGCCATTCATTATCATTGGCATGGAGGACAGGGGAACCTTCGTTTTTCCGCGACTTGCTCGGCGTGTTATAACCCTGATCATAAGATCGACAGTTGTCCTCAAAGACATAAAATCCCACCCAGACACCCGTGTTCAGAGTGCGGAGAACCTCATTGGAGAGTCGATTGTCCGCATCTGCACAAGGAGCCCACGCAAGGTTTTTCCGTTCATTATATTGACAGGAAAATGGCCCGAAAGTAAATCCTTTGACTATTTTTGTGGTGTTAGCTTGTATACTCAACGGCCTCGTCTTTGCAGCGAAAACACAGTTCCAGGACCTCCCAAGCCCATCACACGGAAGATTCACGACGTAAATACTACTTTAAGCGAAGCGTACAGAAGGCTTGCTGAGAATGGAGATGCTTCCGATGTAAAGAGGTACATATATCAGTTTCAGGTTATTAAGACCCTTCGCTAACTTTGAGCATGACAGATATATTGAACATCCAGAACAATGATAATTTCCCATTTTTTCACAATATCAAGGACCTCTGTTACTCTCAATATTGCCTGCTGGCAAACAATGCCCTTGAGTTATCGATTGAACACGAGTGCCGTAGGCCTAGATTCAGCATTGACCATCTCACAGTCCGCCTATATGTTTTTCTCAAAGCCCGCAGACTCAAGCCCTCTTTTTTTTGCATTCGGCTGTAAGACAAGCGCAGTTGACTCAACATACTTCAAAGCTTGTCATAGCAAAAAGCAAAAGCAAAAGCGTTTGATCATTGATGTTCACTGATCATCGCATGTAGGCGCTGGATATGAGGTACGCGTCTTCAAAGACTGTTCTTAGTCGACTAAAGAAGTTCATGTCTGTCCCTAGGAGAGGCTGTAAAATTGATTCTGTATGGCGCCCAGAGCAATGAGCGTGCTTCATGAAACTGACGATACAGTGATATGTCCATGTCGCTGGTCATGGGCACTATAACAAGTCTCTGGCATTGACATCTATCTGGAGAATTCCGGTCTCGCCATGTATCTTCTGATTAGTTCATCGTCCTGTTCAAATAGGCGCCGAAAGTCGGGGACCTCCTTGCTCCTTGTCGAAACACGTCCAAGTGGAGACCCGCTCGGTCCTTCAGTTGCCTGGACTCTGGGGCTCCACCTTTTGCTTCGGAACAGTGGAGCCTTTCAATACAAAGTCGCTCACGGATCAGAATTTCGCAAAACTATCGACTGATCTTTAGCTCTGGGAGTTTTTTTTTTCTTTCAACTAGCTCACTCAGCAATCAGGGCCCACTGCTGTTAAGATAGGACAATAACACTCTGGGCCTTGGGCGTCTATGCTGGCATGTTTCTGATAGAATCTTTTGTGGAGCCAGCGGTACGTGTTTTTCTCTTTGCAAACGAGGGCTGCGTCATTGACGACACTACAGGCACCCACAGGAATGTCATCTGATCGGCATTCACATAAGTACTGGGCTTGGAAGTCACCGCCGCGGGGTCGCAACACTGACTCCAGATGGAAGCGTAACAATTATCCAAAGCGAGCACGCGGCTCGGACCCCGGATTTCCGAATGACACAATTTCATAACTATCTTTTTCCGATCTTGATTTTTCTTCTGACTCACCTCTCCTTCGACCATAAAGTCTCTCTAGCAAAGCAGAACCCCGTTGTTTCACTGACCCTTTGGTATACACAATGGAGGCTATTGATCTGCGGCACCATTTGAACACTCTGTCCCTCTCCCGAAGTCCCAGTCCCCTGAAGGGTGCGTTCGTCATGGCCATTCACGCGTTCTTCGCTATCTAACGTGACAATATAGACATCATGAAGTATATGGCTGTTGATGGAATGGTTAGCTTAGCGGGAGGTCTTCCTCACCCTTCTCTATTCCCTTTCGTCGATTTAGAGGCCAACGTGTATTCCTCCAACGTCGATTTGCACTCCAATGCTTCGCGGGAACTGATACATCTGTCCATCCACAAAGACGATAAGAATGACGGTCAAGTGGTGAATCTAGCGACTAGCCTGCAGTATTGTACGTATATTATGATCCCTGGGCGCGAATTCCGAATTGAAAGATTCCATTAGCCCCCTGTACTGGACTTCCGTGGCTGCTCAATTTCACGCACGAGTTTACGCGTACCGTGTTTCGTCCTGCTTACAAAAACTTTGAGGTGTTATTGAATGAAGGTAGTACGGATGCTTGGAGTAAAGTGGTCAACCTACTCTGGTAATGCTTCTGTCCTGTACTTTGGCGCTCCTTCTAATGGTCTGATTTAGTGAGATGGGGGACTTCATACTCGTAGAGAAGCAGACTTATCCCACTGCGCAGGCGCTGTGGATACCGATGGGATGCAGCGGTGTTCCAAGTACGAATATCTTCGTCTTTTCCTTCATGCACTAATGGCATCGATGTTTGTAGTTGAGATGGATGCCGAAGGCATGCGCTCAGATGCATTAGAGGACGCACTTCGCAGCTGGGACTCGGATCATCCAGGCGTCAAACGCCCTCATGTTCTTTAGTAAGTGCTTGTCGGACAAATCTTGGCATATTTGAGAATCTTTGTAGTACTGTTCCTACGGGGCAAAATCCTACCGGCTGTACCATGTCTGCCCGTCGCAAACAAGAAATTTATGCTATCTGTGTGAAATATGGTACGCCGGCTGAGTTTTCACCTTTATTTTCTGTTTGTATTCAAAAGCGAAACAGACATCATAATTGTGGAAGACGACCCTTATTATTTTCTCCAGTTCGATGAATACATTTTCGGAAACGGAAAACAAAATGGCCACGCGGTTGCTCCTTCTTACGATGAATCGTTGTTCCTTAGCTCGCTGGAACGCACGTTCCTCAGCTTTGACACGGAAGGACGTGTGATTCGCCTCGACACTTTTAGTAAAACACTTGCACCTGGAAACCGCGTCGGGTGGTTCACATGTAATCCTGTTTTCACAGAACGCTTACTTCGCGCGACAGAGGTGGTCACTCAGACACCCTCGGGATGGAGCCAGGCAATTCTATCAGAACTGCTGCGGTCTTGGGGCATCAGCGGGTACTTGAAGTGACTATCGGGGTTAAAGCGTGAGTATGCAGTGCGTAGGAATTGGATATGCGATGCTCTGGGCGAGGCATTCGATATCAAGGCGGGGACGAGTGACGAAGGTCTAATGGTCTACGGCAAGGGTACGAGTGTTAGGTTGTTCAGTTTCGTCCCTCCGCGTGCCGGAATGTTCTTGTGGTGTAAGTTGTATCTGAAAGAGAACAAGGACTTCTTGGCCGTTAAGGCTGAAGCCGGCGACGAGGATCCCGAGGCAGCTTTTGAAAGGAAAATATGGAAGGAGCTGGCTGACGAAAAGGTTGGTGAACGTCACTCTGTAAATGTATATCGCTTATAGCTTTGAACAGGTTTTGCTCACGCCAGGATCGTATTATACGTGAGAATTAGCATTTCATCTAACATGCCGATGCTCAATTCATTCCAGCCCGTGGCAAGGAAAGGGAAAGACATCGATCGCAACCTCCGGTAGAGAACAGGGCGTTATCTTCTTCCGGATAGCGTTTTCGATGACCACGGTAAGTGCGGTAATTTTAAATTTCATCATTTTCTCACCTACCACCTAGAAAGATGATATGGCGCTAGGAATCCAAAGAATGGCTCAAGTTCTACGTCGTTCTTGGGGCCTGGCATAGACACCTCCATAAAATTATTCAACTAATCTACTGCTATCAGCTAATACGCTTGACAGGTCCTTAGCTGAAAATATGGATTATTCAACTAATCCATTGGAAAAGACTCAACCAAACGTACCAAAGTACCATATAAATGTAACACCGTAGGTTGTAAGACCTATTGACTAGAGCATGAAACCCTTGAATCTCCTTCGCGTTAACTCCGCCTTTCGACGCGAACCTCGCTGACGGTGGCCGGTACTCAAAAATCTCCTTGGTGATTATATTGCAATGTCGGCTTGCAGCCAGTGCGGCGGAGTACGCTGACATCCGCAGCACCAAAGGAATCTTGCCTCTCCCTTTTACTGACATTTGTTGTTGGGAACGAAGTGGCTGCAAATCAACACCTTGTATACATTCATTGTCACCCTATTCGCAGACCGGTGATCGCCTCAAGGGCAAAATGCAGGCTGGCGGTTCCTGCCCATGGCGCGGATCACAGACCAAGGTTAATGCTTTCAGGTGAGACACCGCGACTGACGATATTGGTGACCTAGTAAAGCCCTCTCCAGTATACAGCACACACGTTGTCAACATCATGTGTTTGAAAATCTAAAATGCAGTGTTCATGCACATCGCGTCGAACCATGAATAGCTTTTATTACAAGTCACCGTGTCTCTTGCCTACGCCGCTCTCCCGAACCTTCGCCTGGAATACACTGCTCCTTTGATCGGCTTCTATGGTGCCAAAATCAATTACCCTTACCAAAGCAGCTCCATCAACGTTAACACGGAATCCACTCGATGATTGTTTCACTCATGGATTTGATATCGGCAGGCTATATATAATGGTATGCCGAGCTCCATGTTGGCAAGCCTACATTATTCCATTCGTTAAATCTTCCATGACTCTCCTTCCTGGGCCAGCGGTAGCCCACAGACGATCCTTACGACTTTCCTTGCTTTCACGTCTTTGCGGAACCGTGAGCGTCTTCATTTTAGTGTTTTCTTTTGCCGGTATCTTCTATTATAATGCGTTCTGCTACGTGAAGAACGGCGGAGAAACGCCGAAAACTGCAAGGCTGCAACTTCTGGGTGACCATCACCGTACCGGATGTTCCACCCACAACGAACCACAACTAGAGTCCAAGAGTCAAACTGTTTCTGAACTTACTCCCATTTCTCCCTCTCTGTTGCCTGATATCGAGCATTTGAGCTTGGAAGCATTGAGGGAACTTGTTTCGTCGACGGAAGGCTTCTTAGCGAGGGACTATAGCCTGAACCTCGGATGGAATAATGTAAGTAGTAGGATCCTTGCGCTTAATATTTTTCTTTGCTTATCAAGGTCAGATACGTTATATCATAGAGGCAGCGTTGCTTCAAGCTAAACTTCTCCGCCGAACCCTTATTTTGCCTTCATTCATCTACGCGCGAGGCTGCGAGTATGACGTGTAAGTTTGAGAGTTTCCATCCTGAACCTTCCTTTGCTGATGGCCTGATGCCGCAGCAAAGTTTGTGGCGATTACTTTCCCATGGTTAATAGAGGGTGTGCATCATTTCCTGCATGTCTGATAATCAACGCTCACAGCACGCCTCTTCAAGGGATGCGTTAGGAAGCAACGAGTGGCGCGAGCTCCCCATCGAGGAGCAAATGGGTTGGGTGCTCCCTATAAATCTCATGATCAATATCACTCACCTCCGCGAGAATCACCCGGTCATCACCGTGTCCGACTACCTTCGCCTACATGGCATCGACCCTACGACCGAAGCCTCCAATGGACAGTGGCAAAGAGATCGGTACCATGCCAGCGATGTCAAGAATATTTTTACGGGGAAGACACCTGAATTATATGTCATCCAGAATGAGTGGTATGATCAGGAAATAATGAGGGTCGACAAAATACCAGAGGAAATCAAGGCCCGGAAGCGAGAGGACGAGGCTAGTGGGGTACACGCGACCTTGGAGGATGATTTGCCCCAGAATGTCGCCCTAGACTGGGATCGAACTCAAGAAATGGTGAATATTTGGGACGATCATGAGCTGGAGAGGGTCATGATCGAACACGGATGGGAAGTCCTCCATACATTCAAGCCTGTGTAAGCGCTTTGTTTTGCTTAGCGTATACTAACGTAATGCTGACGGTGTCCCAAGAAAGGGACTGGAATTGAGCAAAACCGTTACAGAACCAATGAAGCAATTCGCACGCCGTTCCGCTATCCGTGGATTCCAGGATGATTTTTCTGGGCGGAAGGAAGAAGTACTACTACTCTCTGGTCCATTGCACCATCACCGGAAACCAGTAAGTTCTTCCCAAATAAGCTGAAGCCATGAGTTTTCGCATCTGATCACAATCCTTAGGGCGGCATGCGCTTTACAACTCGCCTTGCATTGAACGAGTACCTCCATCTTGTCCTCCATGATATACGACAGATCGATGCTGTGATCTCGCTTGCTGACCTGATGGTTCAACGCATGTACGATCTAGTAGGGGGGCGACTATGGATGGCAGCGCATATGCGTCGTGGTGACTGTAAGAGCTCTTTGTCCTTTGTAACCTCTATTACACAGTTAACATTCCCACTCCTGTAGTTGTCAGGTACAACTTCGTCATGGAGAATACTCCAGAAAGACATATCTACCGAGTGAAGCAACATCTGGCAAACGGAAGACGACTGATAGAGTCACTACATGAACGACAGGAAGTTTTGCGGACCTATGATATGCCAGATACGCCTGGTCCAAACTATGAGATGTACAGTCGGGGACCACCACTTGCGGACGACTGGTCGGTTCATTCCATTTTGACTTGTATATACTACGGCTCAACAAAATCCACATAGGTTCTATGTCGCGACGGATGAGCGCAACGCCACCATTCTACAAGAATTTCGAAACCAAGGGGCCGTTTTCATGGACGACCTCCTTACCATCTCAGACAGACGGATGATTGATCCAGAAATATCATGGGCATTAATGATTACGGACTTTCGCGGGTTGATAGAACAAATTGTCTTGTCACGCGCGGCGTATTTCTACGGCCATATGATGAGCTCGGTAGTTGGTGGTGTCATGAATCTACGCGGTAAACGCGGGGTCGATCCACGCACAACAGATGTAGATTAGAGTTCGAACATTTTTTTATGTCGCGCTGGCGTTCTTGTACCTAGTGACACGGACAATATATTATTATCATCTGATATCCTTTAGTTCTACCGTAGGAGAGTACAGTAAATACCCCTCCATAAGTCGAGTCGCCTCAAGCGGCGACCTGAGCACTGAGCCTTGGCTTAGTCCGTAGCATAAGGAATACCCGCACGCTCCAAGATACTCCTCAAAAGTGATCCATCAGTCAAAACTCCGGGAACTTCAGGAGTATCGCGCAGTTTCCGAGGCTTTGGCTGATACTTCTCCGCGTATTGTCTTTGAACGAGCATTGCGAAACGCACATCACGAAGGGTGATTCCAGGATATTTATACGGTGTATGCTCATTCTCAGCTTTCCCCGGAAGACAAATCGGCGGTGAAAGCGCGCTGTGCGTCTGAACGGAGATGCTAAGACGTTTGCTAGCGAAACCGATCCGCTCAGGATGATGCTGGCCAGAAGATTTGGGTTAGAACAGTAACACATCATCCCAATTTTCTCACATTCTCTTCATCGGCAATTGTAGATATGTCATTCATGAACCGCATAGCGGTCTTGTATCCGGCAATGGGAAACTCCGAGGAGAGTTGACAGGATTTGAGCTTGGTAGACCATCTTAGGCACCAACCTACGCGCATCAGAGGAGGGATGTATTGCTTAAGTTCATTTTCAGAGAGCCAGTGCGTTGGCGCTGTTGTTGGTAGGGACGGGGGAAGATCTAAAATCCTTTGTATGAGAACAGAGATTCAAGAATGAAGTGCAGAAGTCATCCCACCTACATTTCCTAGTGATGTATGTAAGGAGCGACGAAAGCCAAGAATGAGCTCCCACGAGGAGGGTGCCCAAAGCATTTTTTTCAGGGAAGGAGCAGAGAGAGTATCTTTCTATATTGCGACGTCGGAGATATTTCGCCCCAATTGGGCAATGACCAACTTCCTTCCTTCCTTCTCCTATGCTCGACCAGTTCCCCCCTGAGCTCGTTCACGCCATTATCTCAGAGTTCTGGTACTCCGAACACCCCTCGGAGGATAGAATTACATTCATGAAAACATGTCCCCTCATCAACCGCCTCTGGAAGGATGTCTTTGCATACATCGCTTCCCGGGACATTTTCGTTCCAACGAATGCATATCTTTTCTATCTCAGTTCTATTATACGCAACAACGACTCTCTGATCTACCGAATTCATCTCCCCAATTCCACTCGTACGATTACCTGTCATGTCGACCTAGTTGAAACAAATCAGGAAGCCACACAGGAGCCATACACAATCTTATCCAATCTCCCCAATTTCATCGGATTTCGCAAGTGCTTTCCAAATATCACTCAAATCTTCCTCGAAATCACGTATCGCGTCCGAGACAGATGGTGGACCCTTTTAATATTATCTCAAGAACAAATCGTTCGGACTCGAATATCCTTAGCACTTGACCAAGCAACCACGCAGCTCAGTGTCTTACCCGTGGACTGGGAAATCGCTGCTTACAACCCGGCGCCTGATTATATCTATGGCAGAATTGCTGACAGTAACTGGGAAATGTTTCTGGAGGCTATCACTCGTCCTATGGCACCCAGAACGTTGTCCAAATGCGTCAGAGCGACCCCGTTCAAGGATTTGATATTGCGTTCGACGTATCTGAATTGCGTCCGGCGGTTTTCTGGTCATGGTGTCCTTACGGAGACGAAGGGCGATGTGGGAGGCATCAATCGCAGGTTCGGAACGGCAGTGCGAAGACCATTGGGTGAGAATCGCTCTTCCTTCCATTGAGCGAAAAGGACTCATTTTTATGGAGGTTTATGGACGTTCCTTGAGGAAATGTATGAGTTTATCACATGGGTAGATGATACTGTGCCCGAACGCTTGGCAAATTGGCATGTCATCGCGTCACCATGAACATACTGGATCAAAAAAGTTGTGGGATTTTATCTAGTCTAACTTCGTCGAAACCCATCCTGTATGTATCTCCTTTTGACTATTTTATCTCTTTAAATGGCATTATAGGTCATCTCCTTGCGGATTCGTCCCGTTCGAGTCTCAAGAACGCATCGAATTAGGTCAATAGCAGTCATGTCAAACTGCTGCGTGGCAAGGGAGGTGCGGTGTAAGCGCTGGCCTTCCGTTTGGAGGGTTTTTCCAGCAGGAGAACAGTCATTTTAGATGATATCATGCGTTACCTAGGTGTCGGCTCTACCTCAAATCGTCCTACCCCACTGTCATGTGCACGTTCTTTTGCTTCGATTTCATCAAAGCAGTGGCTTGACATCTGTGTTACTGCACATAAACATGGCTAGTCGCGTTGACCATCTGTCATGTGTAGCCTGGAGTCTCTCAGAATACAGAAGGACGACTGATGCTCGTTCACCTTGTGAATCGGTCAGTCAACACGTCGGGCTACTAGCCTGACTGGGTTGGACTGCAGGCGACTCCCATTGACGATACATAGCATAGCTCTCTTAATGTACTCATACTCTATATATTTGTTAATAAATCTGTTTTTCTTCATGAAATTTAGTGTACACGACGTTATATTTACAGTGGCCAGCCTGCAGGACTTGTTTGTTATCGCTTTGTCAGTCTTTAATCGAATACCAAGTTCAGTACGAATTATACAAGTAAATATATGATACATTGACATAAACTTCTGACACTGAATAACGAGCATACTCCCAAATCATCGGGTATCAATCTATATGTACAAACCACTCAGAACGACGTGGTAGAATCCACCTCAATCGTTGGGACAATCGAAGCGATGAACTTCAAAAATACCACCAGATAGAAGTCTACCCGCATTCCTTCTACCTCTTCTTCGTCGCCACTGAGTACCTTGTCATCTTTACCACCACTCGACTTCCTCCCGAACCACTTCTTCTTTTCCTTTGGCACCAGCTTCTGTTGGGCCAGCTGCTCCGCGACGACGCTGCTATTCATACGCTCGATGACCTTCTTCATCACGCTAGCATGCTTGCATGGGTGCACCGACGCAGCTTGCAACGTCGCGGAATGTGGGAAAGCTTCGATGGTCACCGTCTTGAGAGCGTGATCAGCAGAAACATCTTGGAATATCTGAGGTGGTGTTAGGGGCGTTCTGTTCTCATCGTAGCCAAGCAGCCAGATTCGGGGTGTTTGGTAATACTTGTCGTAGGTGATCATCACATCGTAAGTCCGGACCTGCAGGAGGTTGCCGTTGGCTACTTCGACTTCGCTTTTCATATTGTCAGATAAAACTTGGCAGAAGTCTGGCTCACTAACACACCTAGCATTGGTCACGCATGCCTTTGTTACAGCGGGGGCTGCAGCGGTAGCCTCGTCGCCCTCTTCCAGCCCTTCCTCCTCCATATCTGGAATATCATCCAGATCAGGTATCTCGCCCGGTGCTGACGAGTCTAGCGACAGCCCCGCGACGGGGCCTTCCAGATCTGGGATATCGTCGATCTCCCCTGGGTTGGCAGCAGAGTCCGTGTTGGGCTTCCTCCCCGCGTGAGTCTCTACCCATTCGTCCTTCTCATCAGCCGAAGCGAAAGAGTCGCCAAAGGATAGCAATCGTTCCGCGTCTTCATCGGCGTCGGTGTATGCTAGTGAAGTCGCTCGTCGGAGGCAGGGCACGCCTCGTGTTACGAGGTATTGCTTTTCGGCTGGGAGATATTCGCGAGTCTTGGAGGCGTCGCCTTTCTCCCTGAGGGACCATATTCAGTTGTGCTCGCCTAGTCGCTTGGATCGCACTGACCATGTCCAAACTGGAAACTTGTACGCCAGAAAGTCTCCCGCCGCCACAAACTCCTCTGTATGACTCCGATAAGCCTTTGTGTCGATGAAAGGGATAGGGATATCAGGGCTGACCAGGCGTGATACGACCATGCTCCTTGAATTTACTCTCTTTCAATACCTTGGATAGCCCTATCAGGTCTGGGCCAAGCAAGACATTAGGCCACTCACTGGACTGAGATATTCTCGGACAGCGAATAATTGTTGCTAAATGCCCGATGAGACGGGAATATCATGTGGAAAAGGAACAGAAATACCTGTATGGCATGCATTGTTGAGATCTAAGTGATAGAAATGAGAGAAAAGGCGCTATTGGTTACTTTGTCTCTCAGGAAATCGATTTAGTCCACGTGCGTCACGTGCAGGCATGACGCAATGTCCAAATTGGGTTAGCCCCTGGACACGCTTAACCACAAAAGCGCCCACCGCTCCTTGATCCGAAACCACCATCTGGCTAATTTTCCCACGGGTAAATTTGCGACGATGGAGGGTGTAGAAACTAGCGTAGGCGGTACCATAACAAAAGATATACAAACTACACCTACGAAAAGCAAAGATCGCATCGCACAGCCCATGAACGAGACACCTAGAGCAAGACAAGGTCACGTCAAAAAGAAAATGGCCCTGCCGAACGACAGAGACCGCCCGAGAGCAGTACCCTCTCGAAGCACATCGCCAACGCACTCGAACTCCTCCACAGGATCCAAAAGGAATTGGGAAGGGGACGATGATGACTTCTTCGGGACTCCGGTGGGGAACTGGAGTGACCACATGTCGAGCATGAACATTAGGGAAAACGAAGCAAAGCTACAAGAACTGATGGAGGATACCATCACGGCCGTGCAGGAGTACACCAAGAGTGGAGCAACGGCAGGCGAAGGGAGACTCGGAGAACGAGCGCAGGCTCTAGCACACGAGCTAACGGTGATGATGTCGGGAGAGAAGACGATCAGCACCGATGCGATGCTCCACCGGGTGTACAACCAGCAGGAAAGAATGGAGAAGAGGATGAAACAGTTTGAACGCTGCCAGATAGAGCTGGACAGAAGGGAGAGGAAGAGCGAGACAAGGATGCTGAATGAAGAAGTGCGTACCTTTAAACCCATTCCGAATTACGCAGCTGTTGCCGCAACCGCGAGTATACATAGAGGAGGAAACACAGAAACACCAGCAATGCATTATGTTACACGTCCCGTGAGACCAGCTAAGGCAACGACACAGAATATACCACCTGCATCGACACTCAAAAACCCCAACAGACCATACAACCCATGCCGCATGGTCGTACGAGCGCCAGAACTACTGATAGACTATGAAAGGCCTAAACCCGAAATGGTCGCCATCAGGGTCAATGAAGAACTAGCCAAGCACGACGAGACGAAGGAGTTCGTAGTCGTCCATGTACGGTTCAATGTGAATAATAGCTGCATATTGAACCTACGAAGCGACCAGCGAGTGGCAGATCTAGAACCACATGCACATATCTTCAAACAGATTGTGTTCCCAGGACACAGCGAAGTAGAAGCATACCCAGACGAGAAATGGTTCTCGGTCCATATATGCGGCGTCAAGACAGGGATAGTCGATGGAAGTGGAATCCGGACAGCTGAAGAAGTCAGACAGGAGCTCATAGCGAAGAACCCTGACATACGGGGAAGGACAATCAGAGCATTCAGATGGGTGAGACCAGAGGGAAAACTCATAGAAGAAGGGAAGTATGCATCATCGGTAGTTGTATCCTTCGAGAAAGAGGAGGATGCAAGGTACATGACGATGGAGAGGAGAAGCGTATCGCTTTACTGGGCATCGTGTATTGTGAAGGAGTTTACAGACAAACCACCGGCAATCCAATGTGAGGGATGCCAAGGCTTCCACCGGAAAGCAGCATGCAAAGCAGCAGCAAGGTGCCGACTGTGTGCGGAGGACCACCACGAGAATGAACACGCAGAGAAATGCTCACGGTGCATACAAGCAAGGGGAGAGGCATTGGAAAGAGGGGAGATGGCAACGGTCTGTATGCACAGGCGATGCGCAAACTGCAAAGACGGGGAACAAGCAAACCATGCAGCGAATGACCGGATGTGTCCAGTCCAGATCCGTAGGCTGGGAGATCATAGAGATCCAAAACCAACACACCCAGTGGGGAACATTGGAAATGCGAATGGAGGCTGGAGAAAGGTCACTCGCAAACGAAAAGGGAAAAAGCAGACAAATCCTGCCACAGAGGCTGGGACGGAGTCAGAAGCTGACCCACCCACCTCTGGCAGAAGGTACGCGAATAATATACTCTCTGAAAAAGAAATCATCGCTACGCTCCAAGTTGTTTTTCCAGAGATACAATCTGAACAACTCCAGCTGTCATGGAAACAACGTAGCAATGGAAGCTCACTGGCACAAGTCATCGAGGACATACGTGACCCAGAACAACCACGCAGTAGCCAATGAATGATACAACACAACACCAACAGACAACACGTACGAAACCCGTGAACTTCATGCAGTTGAACTGCTCACGGTCATCGTTAATCATGCGAGCAGTGCTTGCAGATTTATGTAAATCAATTGATGTGTTTCTTTTTCAAGAACCATGGTGGTGGAAGACTCCACATGGGAAGTGGATCTCGGCGAGCATGAATGCCCAGGAATGGCAGGCAATACTCCCAGCTGGGGCTGAGGAGGAGCGCCTACGAGTAATAACCTTTGTTCGAAAGCGCAGTGACCTCACGGTAACACTGAGATCAGACATTGCGACAGATCCCTATATACAGGTGCTAGACGTACAACAAGGAGGAACAAAATTATGGCTGGTCCATTTGTACAACAACCCAATGGACAGAGATGAAAATGGCAAGATGGCACTAAACAGAGTACAGAGGCTCGCCATTGACCGAGACGTTCCGATGGTGATTACTGGTGACTACAACTCCCACCACTCCCTATGGTCACGGGAAGGACAGCGGGAGAGCCCATGGGCAGAGGGACTTGTTGAGTGGATGGTAGAGAGAGGTTTACTGATGATGAATATGAAGGGAATACCCACGTTCTTTTCCAGAAGCAACAATGGAGCCGAGTCAGTCATAGATCTGACATTCGCCAATGCTGCAGCTATTACAGGCAACCTCCTGGTAGACTGGAGAGTAGATCCTGAATCCTCGTACACGTCGGACCACAGTGCAATATTCTGGAGGATCGATCAGGACGTGGAAGTGGTGGAAAATGCGCTTGGAGAGCAATACAACCTAAAAGATGCTGATGCGGGAGAATGGGAGGAAGACTTCAAGATAAAAATAGGAGGCTTCTCTGACAGCATGAGAGAGATCAAACAAGCTACGTCGGAATCCATGGACCGATCTCGACTAGATGAGATTGTTACCCAATTTCATACGCTGATCCAAGAGTCCACAGAGAATGTGGTCCCCAAAAGGAAACCAAGCACACATGCATGCGCATGGTGGGGGAGAGAGACAAAGAATGCTTGCAGACAGGTGAAGGAATTGCGAGAAGCGCAACGAACCCACAAAGCAGAACATGGCTGCATAAGCTTGGACATCGCAAGGGAGATCAAGAAAGCACAGAACTTTTTCAAGCGCATATGCCGACGAGCAAAGAAGAAATGGTTGGACGAGACACTTGCAGAAGCAACTACAGACAAGATATGGAGATTCAGCAAGTGGTACAAAACAGAACGTAACTATCCTTCACCAGCAATTAGCCGAGGCGAAGGGGAGACACCAGCGGTGACACACGAGGACAAATGTAATGCAATCCGAGATGAGTTATTCCAACCACCTCCAGAACTGCCAGATAGCGAGGAACCAGAGCTAGAAACTAGGAACCCGGGAGACATAGAATACCATGATGTCTCCAGGGAAGAGGTACGTTCAGCATTATTTGCCGGATCAAAGACTTCTGCTCCCAGTGCATCACAGATCAATTACCTACTGCTACAGTGGGCATGGAATGTATGCGAAGATTTCATCATTGCACTCATCCACCTCTGCGCCGCCATGGGCTACCACCCAATGCCATGGAAAACAGCTATAGCTTTTGCATTAAGAAAACCTGGAAAGAAGGACTATGGTATGCCAAGAGCATGGAGACTCATCCAACTGCTGGAGTGCTTGGGAAAGGTCCTCGAACGCATACAGGCAAATAGACTTGCTTTCTGGGCCGAAACACGAAATCTGGTACCACCAACCCAGTTTGGAGGCCTTGCAGGACGATCAACAATCGATGCAGCTGCCACATTCGTACATGATATCGAGGCAGCAAGGGCAAGAGGACTAGTCACGTCATCACTGATGTTTGACATTACAGGCTACTTTGACTTTATCAACCATGCACGACTACTAAGGGAATTGCGCCGTAAACACATACCACTACCAACCGTGAAATGGGTATCCTCATTCCTCATGCAGCGACAGGCAGCGGTGTGCCTAGATGGCAAGCGAGGTCAGATGAAACCAGTGATGAACGGAATTCCCCAGGGATCCCCGGTGTCACCAATCCTATCAGCGTTCTACTCAGCAGAGATTCTGGAGCGATATACCCCACCAGAAGTACCACCACCCGAACCACCACTAAAGCCAGATGCTGCATGGTTTTCAAGGAACCCCCAGTGGCACACCAAACCGACGACAGTCATGTTCGCAGATGATGGCAACATCTGGGTTAGCTCAAAAAGCCTTGAGACCAACGTCGCCATCCTAAAAGCTGAGTATCACAATACATCGGATCTCCTCAAGTCGATTGGCCTTTCTTTAGACTGCGACAAGAGAGAGCTATGCCACTTCGTCTCACAAAAGGGGGTCACACCATTTCCGGCAATCATCCTGCCTGGCAAAACGGCTGGGACTGAAGTCGCAATTGCACCAAAGCTATCGACAAGATGGCTGGGGTTCTTCTTTGACGCAAAGCTGAATTTCCGGTCTCACATCAAGGAGATGGTGGGAAGGGCAGAGTCAGTGGTAAACGGGCTTGGAATGCTAGCAAACACCGTACGAGGACTGAGCCAGAACCACATGCGACAACTCTATATGTCATGTGTTCTCCCAGTTTTGACGTACGGAGCAGCTATATGGTGGAAAGGAAAACGGCAAGCATCTCATATCAAAATGCTTACACGAGTACAGAATCGAGCGCTACGCCTGATTTGCGCAGCATTCAGAACAACACCGATTGTTGCTCTAGAAATTGAAGCGTCTATACCACCCATCCGGCACCTACTGGATCTCGAACGAGATAGGTTTGCGGTACGGATATGCAAGTTCAGCGAAACAAGTCCCATCATCCAGCGACTAACAGACAAAGATTGGAGAGGTGGTGTGGCACCACGAGCACACCCGCCAATACAGCCCGACATTCCAATTAGAATGCGACGAAACAAAGAAAGGCCAACAAGGAGAACCTTCCTAGGCGAGCTAGAGTCAATATTAACACCGGAGGATGAGAGAATTTCACTATTCCCAATAGCCCCATGGGAGAAATCACTGACAGAATACGGAAACAGATTTCAGACCTCATTACCAGTCAGCGGTGAATCAAAAGAGGACGCTGCGAGAAAACATCGAGATTACATAAGGAGGTTCTCCTTCGACGACACCCATCTACTGTTATACTCAGACGGCTCCCTACTCGAATTAAACGGCAAACGACAGACAGGAGCGAGCTGGGTAGCGATGATTCAGGGAAAAGTGGTCGCATCACAGAGCATAGGGACAGGACCCCATGCTGAGGTGTATGACTCAGAGCTTATAGGCTTAGCGTGGGCCGCACGAAATGTACAACGATTGCGTGCAGCCCACCCAAGCGTACGTCACATTCATTTCTTTGCCGATAACTCCTCTGCAGTTGACTCCATTATACGTCCCAAACGGGGACCAGGTCAACAGCATGCAACAGTGTTTTTCAAGATAGCCATGGAGCTCTTGGAAGAGGACGAAGAAACATCGCTGGAGGTAGCATGGGCACCCGGCCACCAGGACATACCTGGAAACGAAAAAGCGGACGCTTTGGCGAAGGAGGCATGTACAATGTTCGACATGGGACAGCGCACATATGCAAACGCAAGGAGAAGGATGCGAGAACGAGTACAGAAGAAATGGGTACAGGAGTGGGAAAGGACAAGCCCTACTGGCCGCTTTGGACTCGCAAACCGACTCAAACCACAGCTAAAACCAACCCAGAGGTTCAAGGAGACACCACGCGAGGTGTTCGGAAGGCTCGTACAGTGTAGAACAGGGCACGCCCACATGGGCGAGTTCTACGAACTGTTTAACATCCCAGAGGCGACGGACTGCGAATGCGGCGAGCGACTACAAACGCGAGATCACATCATACGATCCTGCCCACGATACAACGACCATCGACAGATCCTACGCGAAGGATCACAGAATCTAGTGATGTGCGACCTTTTGGGCACGACAGAGGGCATCGAAGCGGTCACAAGGTTCCTAGCGGAGTCTGGAGCCTTTACAAAGACCGGAACTCAAAGGCGAGAGGTGGGAATGCCGCTCTGGGAAGATGAACCAGAGCCGCATGAAGAAGAGGATGATGGATAGAACACTACATCGCAGCGCTACCGGGCCCCCCCCATTGTTTCTTTTCCTTTACTCTTTTTCTATTTGTATTTATTCCCTATCTCTTTTCCCTAGACAATGATTTTCGCAACGAAGAATAGACACCTAAAACACACGAAGCTACATAGAATTTTACCCGAGAGTTTTACATACCATAGAGTTGACAAGTAGATTAGTATTACAACGAGTAGCGGTACAGTCATACATAGCAGTAGAGTACTGTACCCCCGCGTCTTCGCCCACTACGAGGCGTGTTGCGGGTCACCAATCCAGACCTTCATCATCACCACAAAAGCGCCGCTCCAAAAATATGAACTTGAAGCACATAAAGTCATAACCTATCGTGGAGGTAGGAGTGCTCGCAATCCATTACAATATCCCATCTTCCCAGCCCTTCAGTTTTGAAATCATGCACTGCATGAATACAAACTAATAAATTTACGCTGTGGAAGGGTTATACCGCGATATTCAGAAACCGATAACCGTACTGATTCGTATCCATAGCTACTATGAAAGAACGCCCTCAAGGCTAGAGCTCATCACGACCTTTGGAATCCAAGCCAACCAACTCGACATCGAACACCAACGCAGAGTTGGCTGGGATAATGTTTCCGAATCCTCGAGAGCCTAAGAAGAACATAAACCTAGGACTTAGAGCCCAAAGTACAGGAAACATACCGTATGCCTTGTGCGAGGGAATAATGAGTGTCCTCTTTTCGTTGAGGCACATACCCTGGAGACCTTCGTCCCATCCTGAGATGACTTGGCCTACACCAACTGGGAAAGAAGACCGCTGCATCAGATACGTGGCGTTCCTTCAACGAGACAAGGTCTCACGGGTAAGAGGAAGCGGTTCACCGCGGTCATGACTACACGCTCGAGTTTGTAAGAACCATTATCCTTCACGTCGATCAGAGCACGAACCTCGAATCGAATTTGTTCCCATTCGCGAGCAAAGTTCCAGTCTGCAGAAATACTTCAGTCCTCCACTCAACTTGTAGGAATCAGTATCACGCACATAGTGGACTCTAATAGAATCCCCCTTCGCAGCCTTCACAGTACATTCCTCAGGAGTGTAAGTCGTACGAATCTCCAACTCCTTCGGTGGCTCAACAGCCAGCACAAACGAGATGAAGAAGAAACAAGTTAACCAACCAAGCTGCATGGTTGTCGTGGTCAAATTGGATTTCCAGCACACAATGACGTAAAGGGATCCGTGGGATAATGATTACATCAGCTATACAGGCTATCACAGGATTTTCCCACGACAACAAACATCGACTCCACGACACCCAACGATGGTGAGTGCCTTGTGAATGAGCTCGAACGCTACTAATCCTTGTTTCTGGTGTAGCCTTCCCAAAAGACGTTCCGCACAAAAAGAATCCTGGCAAAGGCCGGACGTCAGAACCGCCCAATCCCTCAGTGGTTCCGGCTGAAAACTGATACTAAAATCCAGGTGGGTTTGCATTTCTGTTTTGTCTGTTATTGCGGTGCTGATTTTTTTTGCGATAGTACAATGCTAAGCGGCGTCACTGGAGGAGGACCAAGCTCAATATCTAGATGCAGTCTCTTTTGAATGTTATTGAGCTCGCGCTTTGCTTTCGTCGTCCAAAATGTGTGAATAGGCATATATCTTACGGAAAGGGAGATAACAAGCTGATATCCAAGTCGGTGCATATGCACACTTCAACTCTGGTTTCAAGTACTCGACGTATCACCACTGTACCACCTCTGATGCGGTACAGAGAAATATCTGCCATACAAACATATGGATGGTGGTTGTCCGCCACCGGCTTCCATATTCCATCCATCCATCTGACGCGCCCATGATTATTGCAACCCCATCTCTTCCCTCCGAAGTTGTTCTAAGAGACTTCATGGCGAGCGACGTGATAATCATCCGTGAAACAATACCCTTGGTGATCACCATGTCCCAAACGGGTAATCACCTTCCGAATCTGCGTGCTCGAGGCTCTTGACTACGCAATCAGTTGCCATGTAGCAACGGAACGATAGCCGTGCCCACTCACCCAGTACACCTGGGCTAGACCACCAGAACGGGGACAGCCGTAAATTCATCGCTGACGAAGCCTGACGTGCATCGTACGCCGCTTCGTATGTACAGGGAGCCAGGTACCAACTGAGATCAGAGCGCGCCTTCCTTATACACCACCATATGGTTGCCTCGTCCTCGGGGAATTCGTTACGAGACTGAAACTCGACAGACGGTCTCATGAATCACCAAAGATCTTCTAGGTTATATGATGCTGATGAACGACCATCGGGATATTATTGGAACCCTAATACCCGTCGAATAGACTGTACACCGGTGAGAAAATGATTATATGAAGGACCCACGATGGGAAAGCACATCTGCCAAACTTACTTACGATAGACTGGGCGCTTAGTGTTGGACCGGGCGCGCTGTCATAGTGACAATGGGTGACTCGGCAAAAGTACGAGATGTTACTGACTCAAAAAGTAGTAACAACTCGTCACTGCACCCTTGACTGATGACGCGGCGTGATGACTTGCCCTTTCATTCTCTTTCCGTCGAGCCGAACCTCCACAGACAGAGGATCAGAATCCGAAAGATGGTCCCTGGAGTGATTAAATGTACCTGATGATGCTACTTTTTTCGGGAGGCGAGTAGTGGGAATGGCGGAACGCTCCTCCTCCATCTGGAAGAAAATCGGAGCGGCCCTGGGATTCTTATCACCGAGGGACAGATCCTGTTTGAAGAACATCCGTAGGCAGGCATCAGGCGTAGTGTTGAACCCTCGACGCCGGGTTGAGTTCAGGGATTTACAAAGTCAATGTTACCTCGAGGCGTGATATACATCAAGGCGGCCTGCGGGTGGCGAACGTGAGGCCTAAACATTACACAAAGAAAACAGTATTGTTGAGGAGACAATGCTTTACTCGGGGGAAAACATTGTGAATAACGTGTTACTAATAACAACAACAGTGCAGCTGGACCATGGAACAGTGGACGAATGTACAAGCAACAGGTACATTTTTGACAAATTCA